AATTAAGCAAAAAAAAAAAAAAAAAAAGCGACGTTCGTTTGGAGTATATTTTGAATAAAACTCTCTCAGTTTCAAAGGCGATCGAACAAAGATCCCTCTTCTTCAGCAAAAAAAAAAAAATTTTGTACTCTTCTCCAAACTAAGGTGGCATTTTTTGGCTAATTTTAAACGTCACTGAAACATAATATTCCTTTCAGGAAAGTCAGTCAGAAACGACGTGTTAACTAGAGACATTAGGTTTTCTGAAGATGGAAATATGAAAAAAAGCTACGCCTTCACCGGGATTCGAACTCCGTACATTCTGATTGCTAACCAGAAGTGTCCATATTACATATACATGCAAAAAAGAAACAAAAAAGCATGGAGGAATAACTTACCTCACATATTCCTCCTCTTATTGGGTGACTGGGAGGAAGAGACGCTATCACCAAATCCTAATTGGAATGAATTATTGTCCACTACCTTTTAGTTCAATGACTATTTGTTAGTCTTTTAGAATTTTTTCGAGTAAAGTAAGATGAAAAACACTCCAAACTTCGAATCTCCCGATTACAGCCAGGTGTGATTTCCAGTTACACAATTACACTGCAAAGGCAAGCGGGAAAGAAGGATAAAATATAACAAAATAATTGTTTTTGCGAAAGACAAATGAAATTTCGGTTTATGAAACCTTAGTTTTCTCCTATTTTTTATATTACATAAATTTTATTACAAATATTTTAATATTTAGAATTCATTTAAGGAAATCTAAAGAAGCAAAATTTAATTTCGTGATTCTTTTTCTATTTTTTTCATCGGTTAATTAGCATTTAAAGATACGGCGAGTTTTTAATACGTTTTGCAATGCATTAAAATCAATACTGTTTTATATTAAAAAAGTAGACTTCAAAATCAAGCTTTCAGTTTATATCAAATTTCCAAGACCAAAATATCAAGATAAAGTAAAAATTTCTCTTCAGACAAATTTCCTCTCTTTTCTTTCAATGATCACATAATGTAACGTAACATCTAGATATATTGCAACTGAGCTTCAAAGATAAAGTTGTCCAGTTTAGTTTTCGTGTGAGAGTTTGAATACAAGTATTGGTTTCAAATAAAGATTATAAAGATTCGATTTACGTTTTTAGGAAATAACCAAAAAGGTTACATCCTACAGGATTTATTCTGAAAAGGCCATTTGTTTGAAGAACAATGGAAGTGATTACTGAGATCTTAACTCTTTATCTAAAAATTTTCAAAAACCAAAACATATTTAAATTTATTCACTTTTATTCCCTGATTTTAGTAACATTTCCAACTAGCTTTAAATCAAAATTGTAGTCTCGAACTTAATTTGCACCCGGATTTCTTTGCTTTTCTTGCACCCGGATTTCTTTGCTCTTCTTGCACCCGGATTTGTTTGCTCTTCTTGCACTCGGATATGTTTGCTCTTTCTTATCATAGGTTTCAAAACACCGATTAGATTGGTAACAAAGATTAGTAAACGAAAGGTATGGAAAGGTATGCGGTTTGGTCTCTCTGTATAATTCTGACTACATATAGGTAGTTTGGAAGCTAGGAGCAAAATATATTATGGAATTTTATTTTTCTGCACTTATAATCACAAATTCAGAATGTTTTGAGCACCAAGAAATTGCAACTGTTCTGTTTTGACGATAAAAGTTTTTTTCCGTAAATAAAGGATTAAAACTGCTTGTTCAGCGTTGGGCATTAAAATACACATATGCGATTTTTATGTAAATAACTTTATCCTTTTTTTAAGAAGCCATGAAAATAAGAATAAATAAATTACCGGACGCCAAAAAAGAAGCTAAGTAAAAATTTATAGACTTCAACATTAAAAACTGCAATTTGGCAGCCCTAATCAGGCTCAGGAATCAAAATCATCCAAATTACATCACCGTAGCATTTATGTAAAAAAGTCAGAATTTGAATAGAAAATAATTGGCTATTTTATTGGGGCATTTGTTGTGTGATATGAACGTTTCTACTAAACCTCTAGCTTATTAACAAACTTCAACAAGTATCGCAAGACGAATAAGACTGAAGTCATGTCTATGTTACCGTGAAAGATTGAAATTGGAGAAATTCGAACTTCACCGGAGAATGTCAACATTCACCAAATATGTCGGTGAAAGATCGAATATTGCACTACATTCTTGTTTATTCGGACCGACCCTCACCGGTGTATGTCGACAATCACAGATATGCTCTGGTGAAAGTCGAAAAGAGAGGTTATAAAGTGCCATAATAGTTTAAGTTGTTGTAATAAATAAGATTTGAATCACATAATTTAGTAAGTTTTTTATTACTGTTATTTTATTTTCTCATTTAGAACGTACTGCATAATTAAGTAAGTTTTTTAACTTCTATTATTTTCCTTTCTCATTTTGAATGTACTGTGTGTTTTAGGTTCTCATGTTCTTAAGTTCTTATTTCAAGTTTCAAGTGCGTTTATTCGCGACTGAATGACGGAGAAGAAAATATAATATTGTTATATGTTCAACATTCACCATTAGTACATGGTGACTGTCGACAATCACCGGTGTAAGTCAGAAATAAGAGTATTTGGAAAATATTTCGGACATACACCAAGAAACTATGTGAATGTTGACATTCACCGGAGAAAGTCGAAATTCTCCAGATTTCGGTGTTTCACCGTAACATCTGTTATAATGTCGCTGGAATAATTCACAAACAGAAGATTCATACCCCATAAATAATGACAAGGTAAATCTGTATATTTTGAACAAGAAATCAGAATGAGCAGGAAATAAATATCGTTATATAGCCCAACAGTCAAATAAGCAACGCAATCATGATGAAAACACATATAGAAAATGTCATAAATAGAAAGAAATGATAACCTAACTGAATTTTCAGGCGCTAAAGTGAATATGAAGAAAGATGATTTACTTATATTTTTGAACCCAATGCTCTTCGGAATGCATTACAAGGTTAAAATGGAAAATAGTATAATGTGCAAGGTCAGTAATTATAGGAAAATCCGAAGCAAAAGACAAATTCAGTCGAATAGAAACATACAGCGGATAGACAAAAATATGGAAACACCTTGTGAAATGCATGTTTGAAAAGAAAGATTGATTTTAATGAAATATGTAGGTGGCTCTGGCGTTTTTGACTACTGACGCCACCTATACAACTTCGTAAATGTGCTAAACAGTTCAGTTGTTGTCGGAGTACTGTTATGTGAGGTTGTCATTGCCATTATGTCAGAGTTAACAGACTTCGAACGTGGGCAAATTGTTGGAGCACGTATGGTAGGTGCTTCCGTAAGCAAGGTAGCCGAGGTGTTTAGTGTTTCAAGAGGTACTGTATCGAAGATTTATTCCGCATATTTGAAAAGCGGAAAAACATCATCTGCTAAATCACAGCGCGGACGAAAGTGTGTCCTGAGTGATCGTGACAGACGATCATTAAGGGCAATTGTGACGAAAAATAAGAAGACCACAGCTGCAAAAGTTACTGCTGAAATGAATGTTGTGTTACCGAACCCTGTGAGTACCAAAACAATTAGAAGGGAGCTTCATAAACAGGGAATTGCTGGCCGTGCTGCAATTGAGAAGCCCCTCATCAGTGATGCTAATGCCCTTAACAGGAAAAGGTGGTGTTTAAGTCATAAAGCCTGGACTATAGAGCAGTGGAAGCGAGTAATATGGTCTGACGAGTCTTCTTTCACATTGTTTCCCACTTCTGGCCGAGTTTACGTCTGGAGAACGCCATCTCAAGCCTATAATACAGACTGCTTGTTGCCAAGAGTGAAACATGGCGGGGGTTCTGTTATGGTTTGGGCAGCCATATCGTGGTTCTCTGCTAGCCCCATGATAACTGTGTCAGGACACATGACTGCCAAGACTTATGTGAACATTTTGGCCGATCAAGTTCATCCCATGGTACAAACCCATGGTACAATCCCATGGTTCATCCCATGGGATCAAGTTCATACCATGGTACTTTGTTCCCCGATGGTGATGGTGTCTTCCAAGACGACAAAGTCCCTGTTCATACAGCTCACATTGTCCAGGACTCGTTTTCTGAGCACGAGGATGAGTTGTCCCATCTCCCCTGGCCACCACAGTCACCAGACCTGAATATTATCGAACCTTTGTGGTCTACATTGGAACGGAAAGTGCGTTCTCGTTATCCACCGCCAACATCGTTATCTGAACTTGCCACCGTTTTGCAGGAAGAATGGTATAATATTCCCTTGGCAAACATACAGGAACTGTATTTATCCATTCCGAGAAGACTGCAAGCTGTTTTGGATGCCAACGGGTTTCCTACGCCATATTAAGCAAAGAAACATGTTTCTTTTAAAGGTGTTTCCATATTTTTGTCTAACCCCTGTATAAAAACCTTACATAGCTAGGAAGCACTACATATGTATTCATTATCAAATCAGTTGAATAATTTGCAAAAACGTCAGTTTGACGATATACTCGTTCATTGAATTAACATTAATTAATTTACATTTAAGAAAAACATTAGTTAATAAGCTTATGTATATATTTTAATGAATACATATCAAATGAAGAGTTAACATATTTTAAAGCAAAACCATGAAACTCGATTATGTTATCTCATATACAGGATACAAAACGTAGTTATTTTAGTTTATACCACTTGTGGAGGGTAAAACAATCAGCATTTTAGTAGTACAAAATACTGCTTCATTATTTGCCTAGGTACCTCTGCAACCGATGCAGCAAAGAAAGGAGGAATGGTAAAAGGATACTTAAAACAAAGAATATATGTTTAAAAAATTTCATTTAAAATTCCTTATTTGAAGCATTTTATTATTGCAGCTATTTTTAGAATAAATTATATATGAGGCATCAGAATTATAATGTTATATTTTTGATCCTATAAGCAGTAACCTTATGAGGGTTTACGTAATCTGGAAGTGGTAATTAGTCCAATAACCCTAAAAAACGTAAAGTGAATTATCGCTATGTTTAAAATAACCACAAAGTCACGGAAAGGTTTAAAAAATGTTTTATTTAAACAGAGGTCAGAATATAACCGCACTTTCATGTGCTGACACTATCAGTCGCAGCTCGTGGTGAAGTACTAAACAAAACAGTCGAATTCAAGTTAAAACTGGAACAGTAATGAAAGACTGCACAGCTAAATTTTACTCTAAGCCTTCTCAGTTATTGTAACTGGAGTGTCAAAATAAAATTATCGATAACGGAATAACTAAAGCTATCCGAGCTGACAGGAAGTAAACATAACGTGCACGCCTAGGCCAGAAATACGCTCTTTATTAAAATCCAAAAAGCTTAGTTTAAATAATAGCTAACTCATTTACACTCTAGTGAGGAAAACGGTAAGGAGATATAGTAAGATCTAAATTATAATACTTGGCTAAATTTAAGTAATGACCTTACAACATTATATCAGTTATAATGTCATTAATAAGTGCATGTTTAGTTTTGAATATTTTAATTAATCTCACACGAAATATTATAACTAACCATTTATAATCATCCTTGATTCTACAAAATACGAATTTATTTCGTGTAAAAACATTGTGCAGATACTTAAATCTTCTTTCCCGCATATTAGTATTGATAAATTGAAGCATAAAGGTAACATAAAATTCTTTTTTATTTTACAAAGACAAAGGGATACAAAAATATCGTTTTAATTCATTAATGACTAAAATGACTTCGTTTCTAATCTGAAAAATCTATTCTAATTTGTAATTTGAAACATAAACAAAGGATTCCTGCTAATTAAAGTATATGTATCCAAGAAAAGATACATGCAGAAAACGACTTTTTATAATTTACTGAAAAATACATTTCACAAAGTTAAAGTAATTATTGTTTCGAGTAGTGACTAACATTAAAAACAACCAAAAAATCGCCAAAAATTAAACACTTTTTGATCATTAAGTTCTTATAAAATTATTTATAACATTCCATACTTCATAATTTGTACACTATATCACCATTTGTTTCATTTATTTTTGCATCATTTATGTCAGTTGGCACAACAGTAGATATGGATCCATTTTTATCTGTCTGTAGAGACCCTTTAAGAGCATCCGTAGCCTTCTCTGCCACGGTGCTTTCAGAACGGAAAAATAAAATCTTCTCCAAGTTCATGAAAGGAGCTTCAAATATCATGCTGATGATAGCACCCAGAACAAAAGTCACAATAAGATGTCCAAAGAAATAATACACCTGTTAAAGTTAAAAACAAATTAGATTACCTTAAAGAAACCAGATTTAAAAATATAGTAATATTTCAGTGAATTTTCACCCTGGTTACATGAACTTTTAAAGAATTGTTTGATCACACTTTTAAAAGATTTTTAAGGTCGTTAATTTTTAAATGCCTCTCTGAATAATTTAGTAAATAAAAAGAACTGATTACTAGCCGGAAATAGAGAATGTGAATTAGACTTTCGAGTACATGTGCTACCTTTCCCCTTCTTTGCATGTGTAATATCGGTGATCCTCTATCATGCATTCTGAGAAACAGACAGCTAAATAATTGATGGATTAGACTAATACTGCGAATGGTTAAGAATCAAATTCCCAGAAAAAAATGAATTTTCGTTGTATAATTTAATAAGTGAGACATTTTTATGAACACAGATAAAGATATTTGAACACTATTATAAATAAATGAACATCAACATTTCGCGTCACTTCCCTTATATTTATTTTTCTCCTACTCATTAGTCATGAGATTTTTGAAATCGCACATAATATCAAATGTTGTTCATGAAGTTTAATTTCGCAGCAAATTATTTAAACTAAGAGAAGTGGATTGTTTGTTTCTTTATTTAAATTGAACAAAGCACAAGAAGTATGTATGTTTAAGTGAATGGATGTCTTCTTAAAGGACTTTTTAAGCGAAACTGTCTGTAAAAGGAGAAAAACAAGAAAGCACCAATACAACCAGTCCGTTCGCAGGGATTAAAACACAGATTGAAAAATCAGTGTTCATCAATTTTAACTTAGCCACTATGGGATTAAGAGAATTAGATGATGTATTCAATATAATATTTCTTTATAGTTTACGTTCCATGTTTTATTTCACACATTTATCGAATGAATAATTTACATTTAATCTGCGACTATATCTATTTTTTTAAATATGAGTCAGACTTAAGAGAAGTTACTTTTGATTGTTTCGTACATACTTCCTCTCACATTAACAAATTATGAATCAGTAAAAACTGACCATCTGCTTAGGTGACTTGCCAAAACCGAGACGGAAAAGTGAAGAAAAATCAGTTAGTTTTTAGGAAGATATTTCATATATATTTACAAAATTTCTACTTGAAGAATTACTTGAATTACAGCAATGAATGTCTTGAAAATTGTTTGAGAAACCTGTTTTTGAAAACTTATATTTTACACAATAACAAAGACGTTTTCCAAACTATATCAGGTTTCTTACCTTAGGTGCTAAGAATGCACATATGCACCCGTCTTGTAAGTTTCTTCAGTTACCCTACAGCATTAATGTTTCAGTAGCTTACAGACATTTTATATGGAAAGTTAAATTAGTAAATTAAATTTTCTTTAAAATATTGTAGTTTTAATACTTTAAGGAAACTGTAATTTTTACCATAATGTGTATGAAATTTTAATATCTTGCTATTTTTGTTATAATTCTTTTTACTGCATTAATAACATGCTATGTTTATTTTTTCAAATAACTTACCCTGCTGTGTGACCATTTTTATTTCCTTGTACGAAGTAAAGGAAGTATTCTAATCCCGAAATATTCCGAGTAAACATTGCAACGAAAATATCCATTTTGATCGCTATTGAATGCAATTTAAGAGTGTTTTTGCGTGACAACTGTACCTAAGAACAGACTAAAGGATTCTTTTCCCCAAAACGAATAATAAAACTGTTTTAAAATGGATTCAGAACAGATTTTATTCGTGGCCTCTGTACGTACGTATGTATTTATCTCGTATAACACAAAAACGATTAGCTTCAGAACTTTGAAATTTTATATATAGGACTGCGATAACATGTAGTTGTACACCTTGTAATTTGGTAGCAATAGGCAGAACCAAAAGTATATAAATATTTATATATACCCACTTTGTTACTCGGCTCCGTGAGCTCAGTATATTTATTCTTATATGTTGGTAAACTGTGCATTTTTTGCTTTAAAATTGATAAAATTATGTTGTTCTTATCTTCCGCTTAAGGTTTTTATGCATTTAGTTAATCTGCAGGCAATATTTGTAGAATTATCAATAATTTAAAAGTTGTCCATGTTCCGCTAAGCCTAAATTTTACTTCATACACGAAGTAAAGGAAGTATAGTAATCACGAAAAATTCCGGGCATCATATTTCAACGAAAATATTTATTTTGACAGCTATCGAATGCGATTTAACGAATATTTCGAGGACATCTGTACGTATGCACAGAATAAGGCCTCTTTTATGCCAAACGAATTATAGAAGTAATTTAAAAGGATGGATTCAGAACAGAATTTTTTTCGTGGCGTCTGTACGTGCGTAGGTACGTATCGCATATAACTCAAAAACGAGCAGCCTCATAACGTTGAAATTTTGAATATAGGACTGCTATAATATGTCGTTATGCACCTCCCTTTTTGGTTGCGATGGGCCGCCGAAACACAACCACCCAACCACCAACCACATATATACCCACTAAGTTACTCGGGTTCGTGAGCTCAGTATTTTGCTTCCTTGTAAGAAGTAAAAAGAAAGTACTGTAATCGAAAAAAATTTCGTGCATCATATTTCAACGAATATATCCATTTTGACCACTAGCGAATGCAATTTAACGATGTTTTTGCGTGACATCTGTACGTAAGGACAGAATAAAGGACTCTTTTCCCCTCAAAAAATTATAAAACTGATTTAAAATGTATTCTGAAGACATTTTTTTCATGGCGTCTGTGCGTACGTACGTACGTACGTATGTATGTATCTCGCCTGACACAAAAACGAGTAGCCTCAGAATGTTGAAATTCGTATATAGGACTGCTATAACATGTAGATGTGGACCTCCTATTCTCGTCGTAATCGGCCGCATCAAACGCATACAAACGTATGTACGTATATATATATACATATATTCACTCTGTTAATCGTGTCAATGAGCTCAGTTTCTTTATTCTTCTATGTTGGTAAATTGTGCATTTTTGTCTTTAAAAATGATTCAGTTATGTTGTTCTAATCTTCCGGTTAATATTTTTATGCCTTTAGTTAACCTGCATGTTATTATTGTAGAAGTATCAAAAATTTAAAAGTTGTTTAAGTGAGGCTAAGCCTAATATTTTTGTCATAGCACACATATTTGTTTACATTTGAAATTTAGCAGAATAGTTGATTTGTTGCCAATCTAGAGAAACTAAGCTTCTCCAAAAAAAGTAACGCCTTCTTTTATTATTGCGAATTAAATTTTGCTTAATCTATTTTGGAATTATCATTTAAGTTATTAAATTATCTCATATCTTAACTCAGCTTAGCGTCCACAACAAATTCAGTTTCTACGCCTTCAGTGTCTTTATGAAATTCGAGGAAATAAGTTTAAATGAAATACAGCAAAAAATGCGCATAATTCCGTATTCCGTAAAAGGAAGTCATAGGGTGTTCTGAACAGATTCTTATTATTGGAGTATTAGATATTAATATTATATCTGCGTACAATTTCGATTTTAGTCCTGTAACTTAAATTATACATCCATAGTTAAGTAGCACTAAGCTAAATGTTTGAAACTATATTCCAGTGCTTATCAGTGCTATTTTAAAGATATTTATTAATGCATTATATTATGCTTATTGCAAGCTCGTAATGGTTTCAAAATCAAGACAGTTTCTGCACCTTCAGTGTCCTTTTGCCGAAAGGGAAGAAAATTAAACTCTCATTTTTGTGCACCAAAAAATCTGCCTTGTTGCCTGCTGGCCGAATTGCTTGTTTTTGCGTAGAAACTCTAATTTTAATTGTTAAACAAATTTTAACCTAAAGAGGCACAATTTGCCCAGATGAACTGTTAATTTCTTTTATTATTTTTATTTATTTATTATTTTTTATTATTTTTTTTAAATTTCATTTTAATGTTCCAGCAGTTTCATTTATCTACGCAATGCTGATGGACGGAAGCTCCAAAGACTTGCTTACTACACCTTCTGCCTTAGAAAGACATTTATTCTTACATTTATGCTTTGGAACATCTTGTTGAACTTTTCAGACAGTCTTTTCTCATATGATTTTGAGTACACTATTAATGCCAGAACTCATTATCTCAGAAAGTCCTCTCAATGTTGAAGGTAAAAAAAAAAAGAGGGGCGGAGACTCGGACACCCCCCCGGGTGTTCTCCCTCAAAATTGGGTGGAAAGTTTAACAGTTAGCTAGGTTCACCAATACCTCAATTACCTGTGGTACTACGGAGGTGCTGGCCTAGTTTCTACCTGTACCTGTTAATTTCTTTTTGGCATTTTGCGTCGATTCACTTTAAATGGCGAATCCCGTTTTAAATTATTGCCACCAAACATTAGACTCCTGCATTATATTTAGAGAAACTAATTAATGAAGGATCTACGTAAATGTATGTATGATTTTGGCATTGTGGTAAAACAACGGTACCTAGAGCCATCAAAGTTTGAATAACGTAATCCTCCAGCGAATATGGGCATCTGGAAGCCCTAATTTGGAATCTGGAATTTTATCGATTTCATATTTTATAACATTTTAACGAATTTTTGATTAACAAACTCAACAATTTCAAAGCGAGCAATGGCAACACTGCACGGGGAAACACAGTAGGCTTTCTCATGCATGGATGGCGCTATTTTGATTTACAGTGCCTATAGCGGCGATTTCGTGACTCGAAGAGTTTTCGCTGTTGCCAGATAAAATTTGTAGTTGCATAATTAATTTGTTTTGAAATAGAACTATTTATCCGTAACCGAACTATTTTACTGAATGCCATCTACTGGCAAAGTGGAACGATCTAAAACAGTCGACACTCACCCGCGATGATGTTAGATTACCATGTATTAGATGTCTCTGTAATTGGAATGTTTAATATTCCGTTTCGTAAATGTTTTATTTTTATGCATACTTTCTTTGTACCTATTCCTGCGTACTACGTTAAAATAAATGCTTTTAGAGCTAGCCGGCGTTTGTGTTTATTGAAGAACGGCTACATTACAGTTTCAGATTAATAAATTAATAACAAATTTTGTACTATGCTATTTTTTGTCTCATTCAGTATGAAACTCATTGTATTCTTAGAGAGATCTTCGTAAATAATTATTAACGAGTAAAGCTCACAAGGAATAGAAATATTTAATCAATATTTTATTTTATTTTTATTTAATACATACAAAGCGAAACTGGGCTTCAGACTGGAATTAATTCTCGATATTTTAAAGGGAGTGTTTTACAAAGTATTTTTATTTCTTTGTACGATCAAAGGAAGTATTGTAATCATGAAAAATTCCGGGTTTCATATTTCAAAAAAAAAAAAAAATATCCACTTTGACCGCTATGGAATGCAACGATGTTTTTGCTTGACATCTGTACGTAAGGACAGAATAAAGAACTCTTTTTCCCCAAACGGATTATAAAACTGATTTAAAATGGATTCAGAAGAGAATTTTTCGTAGCGTCTGTACGTACGTACATATATATGTATCTCACATAACTCAAAAATGATTAGCCTCAGAACGTTGAAATTTTATATATAGGACTGCTATAATATGTAGTTGTTCACCTCTATTTTTGGTTGCAATCGGTCACACCAAAAATATATATATATATATATATATATATATACCCACTTTGTTACTGGTTCAATGAGTTCAGTTGTTTCATTCTTATATGTTCGTAAAATGTGCATTTATTGCTTTAAAAATGATTGAATTATTTGGTTCTGATCTTCCGGTTCAGGTTTTTATGCCTTTAGTTAATCTGCATGCAATAGTTGCAGAATTACCAGGAATTTAAAGTTGCTTAACTTCGGCTAAGTCTAATTTTTGTTCACCATATTTGTAGCGAATGAGACCAAAACAAAACTTTTAGTTCTGTGCACCGAAAACACTCCCTTTTTTGCCTGCTGGCCAAATTGCTTGTTCTATGAAGAAACTGTAATTTTCATTCTAAAATTTTTTTTTTAAATTATTTTTAAACCGTATTTGGTGTTTTATGTTTTTCTCTAGCTTTCAATTTTTAATGGAGATATTTTAAGTTTTTATGTATTTTGGCCTTGCCACGAAGTGAGAACTGAATTTTAACTGAATGAGAAATGTATCTGTAATGAAATTCGAGGAAATAAGTTTAAATGAGATACAGGAAAAAGTGCGTTTAATTTAATATTCCATAAAAAAAGTTATGTTGTGTATACATGAGATTTTATATGTTCAGTTACTAAGTTAAAGAGATTGATGTTTTCTAATTTAGCTACTTTTTAAATTTAGTAACTATTGTTATTAAAAAACAGCAACATGTATACTCACTATTATGAAATGATCTGGTTGAGTCAGCGTAGTTTTGTTTCCCATGAAAACTGCTTGTACTATCGGATGCAGTAAGTATACCGCGAAGGTTAAGCGTCCTAAGGGAACAAATGCCTTCCATGACAGAATAGTGTTCACAATTCCTGCAATTAAAAATTTTTTTTAACATTAATCATGATAAATACTGACACACATAAGCATATTAAGAGCAAAAATTATTTAGCTTCAATAAAATACAAAATTTGTAACCGTAATTTCTAAGCCTAAAATCTTTTTTCACATGACAATAAAATGTAATAGCCGAATAAATGCGTTGGGTTGGCAGAAACGTTATTTCGGTTTGCACAAATAGATAGCGCCATGTTCGTTTTATTACTATTCTGTTAATCTTCTTTCTTTCTTTTTTTGAATATGGCAAATGACACTTGCTATAGAAACACATTCCGTGTATTTTTGTTTACAACTTTTAGTTTATGGTCAATTTTAACACGGGGTGCAAAACTAAACGTTTTTACATATTTTACAGTTTTATTTTCATAAAGGCAAGAAAGAAGCTGAGACTCGCAAAGATTTATGTGGAATGTATAGTATGTATTGCCTAATAATACGCATGTGTCAGAATTAGTTTAAAAAATTTCGTTCTGGAGATTTTTCCACTTGAAGATGGCCAGCGTTCTGGCCGACCTTCTGAGGCCGATGATGACAAAATTAAAACCATAATTGAATATAATCATCATAGAACTGAACAAGAGATTGCAAAACGGTGAAATGTATCACATACAACACCTGAAAATCACATACGATACCTTGGACTGGTTAAGAAGCTGGATATTTTTGTTCTGAATGAATTGAAAGAAATTCGCTTGACGCAGCGAATTAACATTCGCGATATGAACTTCAAACATAAGGTAATAGACGCTATTTTGGAAAGTATTATCAACTGATAAGGAAAGCTGGATCGTCTACAATAATTGAAAACGATCATGGTCCAAGCTACATGAATCAATGCATATCATACAGAAACATAAATTGCATCAGAAAAAGATAATGCTGTCAGTTTGTTAAGATTACAAAGGTGTTGTATATTTTGAGCTGCTTCCAAACAACCAAATGATCAGCTAAGATGTTTACTGCCAGCATCTTATAAAACTGGAGGAATCAGTCAAACAGAAAAGGCCAGAATTGACAAATCGCAACGGAATCGTGTTGCACCACATCAATGCGGGGACTTGAAACGTCTTTATCAAGCACGTACGAAATTATTGGAGCTTGACTGAGAAATGATGTCGCATCCCCGTTATAACCCCTACCTTTCACCATTGGCTTATCATTTATTTCAAAGTATAACAAACCTCTTATATGTTAAAAATTCCAGTAATATCGATGACCTGAAATCGCACTTGGTTGAGTTTTTTCCTGATAAAGATCAAACGTTATAATCGCACGAATTCATGAAGTTACCAGAAAAATGGCAAAAGATCATCAAACAGAATGGAAGAAGTTTGACTGATTGAAGTTCAATATTTGTATACAAAAAATCGAGCTTTATTTTTCTTGCCAAACTGATAATTGTTCAAAAAAATTAAAATATAAAATTTGAATCAAATGAAATTCCATACTCCTTATACTGATATCCTGTATCATAATTTTAAATAAATTGTACTGTTAAATAATTTTGTTTTCAACCAAGTGATGTTCCATTACGCGGCTAGCCTTAATGCGTATGATCATTCAAAATAGCATTGCGATTGTTTCGTTGTGATTCAAAACATCATTGTGATAATTATCGCTGATGTCAACTAATGCTTTAGATTGGCATATTTTTTATTACTCCCGGAAAATTATGCGTCTTTTTTTTATAAAAGAACGCATTTTCCTCTAACTGTTCTTGATGCTGTTGATAAGGTGTAACTTTATGACCTCATAAGATAAACGGCGTATTCCTCCGCTTATTATTTTTATTCTTGCATGTATTGTATTATTATTATCGTTTTGATGAAATGCTAAAAATTGAGAATAGAAGGTAGTTCATTTTCGTCATAATACGCTCTTTTACCTTGAAAAAGGGAAAAATCCTACTCAGACAGCTCATAAAATGTATTCAATACGTGAACAAAATACTGTTTCTAATCACACAGTTGAAGTTGCTTTGAGAAGTTAAATCTTAAAAACGTTTTTATCATAAAAAATTATGCCCATTATTCCTGTATAAACAAGGATCTACTAAAAGACACAACCACTGAAGACCGGGGTTATACTGACCATGAACCAGCAGAAAGATCAAATGCTCCGAAATGATAGTACAGTAAGACCTCGCTTAACGCTGTTTCGGTTTAGCGCTCTTTTATTTCAACCCGGGGATTCTCCGAAATTGTGCGCAGCGCTAGGTTTCCAATAACATCCGAAACAGTGTAGTGTGTTTCTTGCTTTTATCATTTTAAACAACTTTGTTACATTATTGTAAATTTTATAAATACATAACGATTAATAACGTGACAAATATTATGATTTTAGTTTATCATGGGTGATAATAATAAAAACAAAAAAGAAAGCAACCTAAAAAGCATTCACTGGAATCAATGCAAGTGAGTAGAAATTAGATTCTGGGAACTCATCTCAAATAGGCTGCGTTGATTTTGGCACTTCAACATAGACATTCTAATAAAAGAAAAAATACTGTCATCGGCAACTGCACTACGTCACTCTGCAACAGAATACCTGTTCTAGAAATACATTAAAGGAAGTGGAAAAACGCTCTCTATATGTTGACTCGAAATTGAAAGCAATGCCATTAAGCCATCTATCATAATGCCTTCTTATAAAAGGCAGAAAATTGGAACCAGAAGAGACTGAAGATCTGACTGAGATTTTATTTGTTTTTAAAAGTATATGCGTTTTATTGTTTTTATTTTGTAAGAAAAATGTTGATTTATTTTTATTAAAAAAATATCATTTAATACCTAACCATTTTTTATCCGTCTTCCCCTAACCCCCCATTTACATGTTAAAATAGCCTCGCTTAGCGCTGTTTCGCATTACGCTCTACTTTGATGGAACGTATCCCCCGTGTTAAGCGGGGTCTTACTGTATACGACATTTTGAAGAAACTTAGTTGCCGTGTGAGTAGCCCATATTTTGAGAGGAGAATCTGCTTGCTCGAATTTCAGCATGTGATTCACTTTTGAAACGCAATAAGCTTAATTTTTTTTAAAACGTCTCATATCTGGAGAGAAGGAATGGATTTTATACAACAATAATACGAGAAAAATCGTGGATAAATCAACTTCTTCAGTGACTTCTAAGGATGGATTTTACCACAATGTTCATGCTCATGCTTTGCGAATAGTAGGACTATAAAGGAATAATTTACTATGAATTGTCACCTAATCAGAGCATCAACTGAGAGAAATACTGTCTGCAGATGCATTTCTAAATACAAAGAACTGACCAATGTTGCTTTTCATCACATCAATTCTCGACCCATCCATCAATGAATTTCCTTAATTGTCTGCAATTTCATTTTTTAACACTGTCAAGCATTTTAATAACGTCTTGACATATCATGACTGCTTTAAAAGGGAAACATTTTCAGCTGCCATACAAGTAGTGAAAACATCATTGAACAATATTGTGCTTACGTTATTTAAAAAGAAATTTCTACCGTTTCCGTATTTCATCATAACCATTTTTAGTCCAAAGAGGCAATTTGCCTAGAAGGACTATTAATTTCATTTTGACATTTTGCGTAGATTCACTGTAAACGTTGATTCACTTTTCAAATTGTTGCCACCAAATATTATCGCCGTGTATTATATTTAAAGAAATTAAATAAGGAAGAATCTATATGTATGTTTCTCGCATTGCGATAAAACAACGGTACCTAAAGCCATCAAATTTGAATACGTATTTTCTACGAAGATTCTCTGGAAGTCCTAATTTGGAATTTGAATTTTATTTTATTAAGATTTTTATTTGTACACTTCACAATTTTTTATTAACACACTCAGATTTCAAAGCGAGCAATGGCAACACTTACCACACCACACAAACAAACAAAAATTATCTCCAGCGCGCGATACTGTGTATCAGAAATTCTAAAGATATTCTCATTTTAAAATTGGTTTGCGCTATTGCTGTTGAATTGAATTTTACAGTTTAAGTACGAAGAACATGATATTTAATAAATAAAGGTAACACACAGAACCTTGAGAACGTCCCTTTGAACGTAATGTAAAATCCGAAAGCTTTCAGATATTTTTTGTTTGTTTGTTAACTTTAATTTCAACTCTTGATGTTCTACGAAGAATGCCACGAGGCTTACACAAGTAATTTCAGCACTAGCGAAATAAATAAACAAATGCTCAATAGCCTTGCGAATGGGGAAGTTTTATAAAAATATAACAATAAGTAAAAGCAAAAAGTAAAATTAAAGTAAAGAGAACTCAATAATTTAAACTGAACATTCCGAGAAGCCGAAATTGTCTCATTAGTCCAAAAAAGTTCAGAAAAGATTGGTAGCCAACATACAGATAGGTACTTCAAAATCATAACCATTTACCATAAGAAAGGCAAAATTTTATGGATGACGCAACAGCTTAAATATTTCTTAAATACCACGCAAGTGATTATCACCATTTCCGACTACATCTGATCCCATTGATGATTAAGTGGAGAAAATCGCTGAATTTTGGTATTTTTTTTCCGAGTTCAAATATCGGGCTAAAGGACCTGGTTGAATGAGGTTGCCTTAATTTTCTCATATGCAGCGGGAATAGAAGCCATCAGAACGTTCTTCACGAAGGTATATCTTATAAGGCTCCGATTTCCTCTACCATGCCAGCAATACAACTATAAATTACGTAATTATCGACTATAAAGTCATTGTTTTAAATAATATTGGCGACAAATGCTTGTTCATTATTTATTTACGCGTTTACATCAATGCACTTTCAGAATGTCTCTGCATCTTGTATTTACGCGTTAAAAGTAAATACGTTATTAAGTAAATGCAGGCGTTTCGAGTAAATAAGTAAATGAAGAGCAAGTATTTAACTGTTGCTTACTAACACGCATTGGAATTAGATCAAGAAGCGAATGTTATGGCAGAGGCTTAGGATTAAAATTTAAAACTATAATATTTTAATCAGGAAAATACACTGCAAATCACCTTAAAGTAAGGAAAGTTCTTAATAGTGTATTTTAGGATGAAATATTTTCTTTTATTTTAAGGTACTGAAGTACTGCATTGGAGTTCATACCACACTGCGTTTAAGGAAATACATCGTTGAAACACTGTTGATGGTTTTATTAGCACTATTATGTTAATAGCTATTTAGAGCAGACTATATGTACACTTTTTATTACTTGTGTATTAACTGGTTACTTTTGTATTAACTGTGTTTTTTAATGCATCATAAAAAATACCTCCCTAACTGTGATTCCAGCGAATATTTGCCAACCCTAAAAATAGTTCTATATTGTTATATGAAGATGAGATGTTCTTTCCTTGTTCTTGTTAACCTTCTCTCCCCCCCCTACTCAGGGAGATTAGAGATTTCTTATTTTTAATATTTCAATCTCAACTTCAAACCAATTAAAGCAAGCTCATGTACGAACTGCATATGTTTTTAGGTAACCCTTTCCCTACAGTAGATTGACAACATTATTGACAACATTTGTGTATTAATTTTTGCTGCATTTTACAGCATGTGTTTGCTAGATTTGCCAAGAACTATAACAGAAGCAATCCATTAATTACACACATACAGTACTTTGCCCAAAAGCCTTGAGTGCCCCAATTCTTATGCAATGAAACTGTGAATATGTGACTGGCAGAAAATATGAGATGGAAATGTAAGGTAACTTACAATGTAATGTAATGTAATACATCTGTTCGACAAAAGTCACATCTTTTTAAGCAGAGTTTATGTAGAGGGAGAAACAAGCTGCGAAGAATAATTTCTATAATATGATAGATTTCTAATAATTCATAATTTGATACAATTTTGAATACGATGATGCCAAGAATTTATAGTTCTCGATGTAAATAAAAAAACCCTTTTCATCAACCTGCTGGTGCCATAAATAATATATTTCATTCCAAATAAAATGGAGCCAATAAATTGTTATCGTATACTAGCGGGCGCTGAATGACATAGAATTATCATGTATTTTTATTCTTAAAGATATTTCCGTTTGCAGTTTCCGTTGTAAATTGCAGAGAATTTATTTTTTCCCGTTTCTTTATAGGAAAATGGCTTACATTTCTGGTCACTTACCTCCATGTCCCGTGACACAGCAAATCACCACCCAAGCCATGCCCAATGCCCACGTTTGTTTACTGAGACTAGCGTAGGCAACTGCTTCTGTGGTAGTGTAGGCTTCTCCTGAGTTCCATTTCTGGGCTCCAAAGAGTGTAGAAATGCAGCAAATGAAAGAAAGACACCAACCCAGAACTTGTACCTTCTGCAAGAGTGGTACTTATTTTACACTACAGTACAGCTCACCACGAATCATAGCACAAAGCCTTTAGAAAGAACTTAAGAAGCGTAATATGTTATATTAATTAGGACTTAACAAGAAAAAATGGCAAGAAATCAGATAATACTACGAATACAAAATTGCAGTCTTTCACACATTTTTTCATTATGCAATTTATTTTTGTCACACGCTGCCACTTTGAGAAATATACGCCTGTTATTTCTTGTGACTATCCTTCTATAATAATCGGTGTGCCGTAAGCCAAACTTTTCAGTGTCCTTCATGCTTTCAAATTAAGACCACTTCACTTACTACCATTCGTCTGCCTTCATTCTTAAACTCAGATCCTTTTCTAGATGTTTTAAGCAGTATAATTTCTGATTTTTTAGTCTAAAGGGATTTGAATCCCGAAGGACTATTAGTTTCGTTTTGGCATTTTGCGTTGGACTCATAAACGTCGGTTCACTTTTCAAACTGTTCAAATGTTAGAATCCTGCTTATATTTGAGAAATTAAATAATGAAAAATCTGCATAAATTATGTATATTTTTCGTATTGTGATAAAACAACGTACATAGAGTCATCGAATTTTGAATAACGTAATCCTCCACGAATATGAGCATGTGGAAGACCAAATTGAAATTTGAAATTTGTTTTTATGATCGATTTCCTATTTTTAAAACTTGACGATTTTTGATTAACAACTCAAGGATTTCAAAGCGAGCAATGGCTACGTTTGTAAAATACATTTTTATCTCCAGCAAGTGAGTCTCTGTATCGGAATTCTAAAGATATGCTCGTTTTAAAACTATTTTGGATATCGCTGTTGCACTGGATCTTATGGTTAAGTGCGAGGAACATGATATTTAATAAGAAAGGAACACACAATTTAAAAAGCCCCTTTGGACGTAATTTAAAATCTGAAACATTTCAGATTTTTTAATTTATTTTTTTTTTAAATTTTTAATAAAATAAAATTTTATTTTCTAAAAGAAGGAATGCATGAATTTTATTCATAAGGCACTTAAAAAATTCTTTGTAAATGTAAAATATGCTTACACAGAGAAAAAACCACAGACCTTTTAAAGCTAAATGAACACACATATATTAAAAAATAGATTTGAAAAAACAACACCGAAAATTTTCCATGATTGGCATAAAAGTGATACCTTTCAGTTTTTGGAGGCCAAAACGTTTACTCGAGCAAAATTGTTCTTCAGCTTGGCTTTCTTAGAAGTTTCCGAAATTCTCCTGCATAGCGATTTCGTGGAAGTCTTTTCTGCTGAAGATGTAAAACACTTTGTTCTGAGCCGCATCACTCTGGGTTAGAGTCCTTTAGATACGGACTCGAATTTTCTTATGTGGCATTACAAATTAAACTTCAAGTTCCCTTCGTGATAACAATTTTATAATATTGAACTGATTTCCAAGAAAACTGGAGACAACAATCAATGTAAAGCTTATCTTTGCTATATTTTAAGTTCCACCTAGATCAACAAAATAGTGTATTCCAAGCGGAATCAGTAGCGCTGCTGCAAGCAATAAAATACAGTATCACAAACTCCCTAAAGATAGCATATGTCTTTACAGACAGTCAGCGATGCATGCCATCGCAAACCCGCACCGCCGATCAAAATTAATCCAAGAGATTACAGAAAGAACTTCAGCATCACAAAATCAACACTTCCTTGTCACTTGGCTGAAGGCACATGCAGGGACAAAAAGCAAGGAGGAGGCTGACATCCTAGCCAAAGAAGCAGCTAGGGGTCAAAACGCACAAAATTTATCAGTACCATAGCCTGGCTCGTACCTTAAAAAAATCATAAGCAACAAATCTAAAGTTGAATGGCAGAACTGATGGGACAACGACGAACAAGGAACAATCAGTTGTTCCCAAAAGTAGGCACAGCACTCAGTTTAATAACAAGGAGAAATAACCTGGTCTTTATCAGGGCATGACCCTATTCCCATGTACTTTTATGCAAGGGAGTTAGCTACATGAGACCAGTGCGTATGTAGAGAAAGAGGCAGTCCTGAACATTATTTATTTAAATGCTCCCTCACATCTGAACATCATTTAAAAGTCCCGAATTCAGAAAGTGAAATGATTCCTTTTATAAGACACGATACTAAGAACAACCATCTCAGAAAAATAAATCATAAATATAATGAACTTCCTGTCCATAAGAGGCACTGAGCTATGCAATACAACATAGAATAACATAACAAAGATATAACTTAAAACATTGTATGTAAGCAGACCTGAAGCTGTCCTCCATAGCATGTAACTGCGAAAGGCCACCAACTGTGAAAACATCGATGTTTATTTAATAGAAAATAAAGGCACTGCCGGCGGTGTGGTACCAATACAAAGCATTGCAAGCGACGCCTGACAAGGGCTCCTGGGAGCCCTGTGGAGTGCAATTATCTGGATAACTTAGGTGCCTGGACGACACCCACATTGCCAATGGTTAAACAATGGGTATCCAACCCACTTCACCGTATCCATATATTTTAATTTGAATTTCTTTATTTTCTTACTGTTGTTAGGACGCCGCAAGCAAGAATAAATAGTTACGGCTATGAAGACAGTTTACTTTATTTGAGATGCCTTTTACAAAGCTGATTTAACATTACAATAAATATGATTATTTAAACTCGGACTTACCCAAGACATTTTCAGTTTTGGTTTCGTTGCTAAGAGGTAGCCAACTAATATTCCAATGCAGTAGCTTCCGGCGTGAGGGAAAGGTTGGAAAAAGTGCACATTCCAGTAATATTTGTAATGACTTGGGAGAAGAATAATAAAAATATATTCATATTTACAAGATATAATATTTCCTTCCAAAATTACTATTCAATAAAAAAACAGTGATTTTATTTTTGCTTACTATAGTATCTCATGCTGAATAAATAAAAAGATTAGTTCAAATTACATCAATATGCATATAGGCAACTCTTAAATAAGAACTCCTGATTTATGAGTCTATAAGCTTAAGCTGCATCTGTTTATCTTTCGGTTGCTTAAGCGAATTCTCATTTTCACAGTCGCTTGGATTCTACTCCAAGAACACACACTCCAAGGTACATGTTGCACTGCAACTAATTTACAACGAAAATTAATCACAGTTAATTTTAAGATTTCAAATATTCAATGTTTAGCTCAAAAGCGGCTATTACGAGTAGTTTCCAAATGAGATTTTGCGTCAGTTCACTAAAATAAGTCACTTTTCAAATTGTTGCCATCCAATGTTATCACTTTGTTTCATTTTTAAAGAAATCAAGAAACGAAGCATCTTTTGCATATATGACGGTACCTAGAGCCATCCAGTTTGGAATAGCGTAGTCCTTCGTCCCAAGATGAGAACGTGGAAGACAGAATTTTGAATTCGTTTTATTATTCGTTTAAATTTTTGTAAATTTTCATGGAGTTTTGGTTAACAAACTCAACTATTTGAAAGCAAGCAATGGAAAGCATAGTATCTAAAGATATGTTGTTTTTAAACATTTTATGACTCTGCTGTTGAATTGAATTAAGCGTGGCGTAAATGCGAAGATCGTGATATCAAATAGATAAAGTTAACACATAAAAGTTAAAAATAAAAAGAGAAAATTTTTTTGTTGGCCATCTTAACCAAGAAAGCAGAATAATGATACGATTAACTTAGAAAAGAATGAAAAAATATAAAAATGTATACCAACATTAAACGCTACATCTGCAATTATAAACACATGCTTCTATGTTGCTGTTAAAAATTTTGTGATTTTGTTGTTGAACTCTATGTGACATAAATGCGAAGAAAACCATACTTATACCAAAAAAAAAAAAAAAAAAAAAGTAGCAGGTGGCAAAAGCAGACTGCTAGATTGCGAACTCAGCGAGAGCTTTAAAAAGCTTAACAAACACTTTTGGAAAATCATTAAGTTCTGGAACCTACCAGATTTTTTTTTTTTTTTTTTGTGGTGATGTATTCTACTTATTTTACAAGCAGCCCGTGTGAGAACCAGATAACGTCCACGAATTTTATTAAGGTGAAGAACGGAGGATTATATTTGTCGTAAAACTGGGCCAAGTGACAACAATATGGTTTTCCTAGTTCCATACAAATTTCGAAGTAGAGGAGTCCACCGCCCACCTTTCTCTGCTACCATACAACTCGAGAGGACTTTCGGCTTGCTATGTAGTTTATGTATCCCCACGTTGCAAACGCGCTATATATTTACAATTATCTGAGCCATTTCAGTAATTCTAACGAGGCCCATCAATACGGCTAATCACTATACCGATCAGAGCAACTTTTCATATACACTCATGTCCATAAATTAAGGATAATTCGGAGTCACGCGGAAATCGAACTCTAAAATAAATGTATTACCTGCAAAATCACTACACACATCTTCAAGAATCATATGCAAATTTCAGGAAGTAACCAGATGACACCGATGGCACGTCACAATGACGAGAGTGTAAGAGAGTGACATATAAGGAATACAGGCAAAGAAGTAAATTGTTCGCAGGCGCTTTATAAGCATTTCAGTGCAATAACCGAATAGTTATGACACAAAGGACGCATTTGGATGTTTTTTACGTGGTAGAATTATCGGCCGTCTGGAATGTGGGCGTACCAACTGGAAGTATCAGACGAACTTGGAATTGCCCAGAGTGTCATCTCCAGGCTTTGGCAACGATTCCAAGATGATGGTAATGTGAGTAGACGTTACAGCACAGGTCGCCCCAGAGTTACAAACGCCGAATGAGGACCGGTATTTGGACAGTTACTGCCAAAACAAACAGGCGGAGCACAGCCTCAGACCTGTCTCGTCAGCTCTCTTCAGCCACTGGTACGACAATTTCAAGGCAGACCATGTACAGACGCTTAGGGCAGATTGGTCTATATGCTCGTAGACCTGTCAGATTCGTTCCACTTACTGCAAACTCACTGTCGCCTGCGGTTAGCCTGGAGTAGAGCATGCATTGTGGGACACCACAACAGTGGGCTTGTGTGATGTTTTTCCGACGAGTCCAGGTTTAGCTTGCAGTCTGATTCTCGCCGGACTTTCATATGGAGAGCTCCAGGTACCCGTTACCACCAAAAAACATCATTGAACGACACCGTTACGGTGGTTCAGGAGGGCTCGTTTAGGGTGGAATTATTCTGGGTTCCAGAACTGACCTGCATGTTCAAATTGGAACCATGACAAGCCAAATCTGTCGGGACGTCATTCTGGAACAACATGCACGTTTGTTTCGGGGTGCCATGGCCACAATTTGTGTTATGGATGACAACGCCCATCCTCACCGTGCAAATCATCGTAAGCGAATGCCTTCAATCGGAGGATATCACCTGTATGGACTGGCCAGCATTCTCACCGGACTTCAATCCAGTAGAGCACGTGTGGGACATGCTTGGCCGACGAGTGGCAGCCCGTCAACCTCCTCTTACATGTCTACCGGAACTTCGAAGAGCATTGCTTTTTGACTGGTGTAATATCCCCCAAGATCAGATCGATAATTTGATACTCAGCATGCCTAGGCGTTGTACGGACTGTATTGCATCTTCTGGGAGACATACACTTTATTAACAATCATACCAACCATGCAATAATGTTTTTTGTAAATAGGTTTTTTTTTTGTAATTTGCTCCAGGGAGAAATAATCGCTAATTTTTTTAATAATATAAACATATAGCATCTTTTTTTGCTCTTTACCTTTTGTTTAATAAATAAGCTTTACAAATAAGTCAAATTTGCTTTGCTTCTAACTCTTCCTTTGCCTGATTTTGATTATCCTTTATTTATGGACATGAGTATATTTAAATACGTATAATACGGTAGATAACTTTCAGCGCCTCGTCAGTCTGGTTCCAAATACCGCAGCTTCTAACCTACGCTCTAGCAAATACAAAATTAACCATTCAAATCTAAATCGATACGCTTGAGTGATAAACTATCCCCTGCGAGGTGCCACACCTTTTCAACTGTAAACCACAAATTCGCTTACTATTAAACTTGAGGTGCTTTGCATTTTCATAATGATCGACAGAAAAAAAGCAATTATAACAAAGAAGAAAAGTTAAATCTTAATTTTTTTACTTTATTTTTCAAATAAAGCTTATTCTACTTTTCAGATAATTATGCGTACCTTTTATCAAAATAACCATTTACCAATGTTAAAAATAAGAAGTAATCTGCGATACAGGAAAACAGTCGATATGAAACTTTGAATATTTTGTAATCAAGCATCACTATAAGCAAAGAGAATTTTTAAATTCGAAAATCCTTAATACCACCTGAACCATTCCAAAGTTTTCATTACATATTTCAATAAATGTGGAGTGAATTTACTTTCTCAAGTAATATAATTATGTTCCTGTTCCATCACTTATTTCAATTCTGCTTTCAAGTAAATGATGTTTTTATTCATAATGGAAGCATGAGAAATTTATTTGCGTAATGAAACTGGTGAAAATTAACTGTTTCCAATTACACTCTTCTACAACATAATTTTCACTTTGGATTTGTGTCGACCTTAGACATTATCTGAAATTAGTCTTGAAAGTAATTTTATAACTATTATTTGGAGGAGAAAATTAAGTTAAAACCGCAGTTTTGAGTTAAAAAGCTCTCTGTTATTGAAATAAAAGGCATTATCATTCATTGTCCACTTATAAATGAATTAATATACGTAAAAGTACTTTAACGTTTAATATCAAAATCACGAAAAAAGTACAACGAAGGCTCAGTAGCTGTCAGAAAAACTGTTATTAGCACTATGGTCCAAGCTTTATTTACTAAACTGAAGCTGCTATATAGACGATGACTCAAAAATATCTGGCAAAAATGTGAGAACAGATAGAGGGAATTAAAATAAGCAGACGAGAAGAAGCTCAAATACAAATACAACTAAAATATGCTGTTGAGCTGTAGATAAAAGCCTTTTTTTCTGACGCTCACTGCGAAAAAAAAAATGAGACAGTTCTATATCTCCCGTTCTACTGGGCCGATTGGCAAAATTAAAATTGGCTTTTTCATATCTCAAAAGAGCTACTGAAGATATATATTAGATTTATATATAGCACTGTTCTAATATAAGTATTTTGACACAAAATTCGACTTTTTCTGAAATAACATACCAATTTTTTTTTCATATTTCAATTCTACGACTCAAATTATGCCTAGGTATTAGATTTTTTAAAATTTGATGCGAAATTTACGGAGAAATTCAAAAATTTACCTTGGCACAATTTTTCAGTTTGTGCCAAGAATAATTCACTTGGCAAACCTTTTAAAAATGGCAAACAATTTTTCTTTTCCTTCCATTATGCCGGAGCGGCACCTCGTTCCTACCTTTTTACCTTGTGCATGAGCGGAAAAAACGTCACATCGTTCTTACTTTTAAATAATTTTAGCAAAGTGGCTAAACTACATTTGATGTTTTGTCGCTTTCAATAAATATGCCAAATTTCAAAATGCGCCACTATATGCATTCACGTATATCTTCGGAAATTTTGAATAAAAATTCTAATTTTTTGTATGCTTAGAAATGCGTCTACTTTAAGATGCTGGCAAAAATTTTACAGATTATAATTCAAAATGTTTTTTGGAAAATTTATAAAAATTATTTAAAAATACAAATTTTCAAGCTAAATCATAAAAAATGGATGAATTTTATTTGGAATGAATCTGAGGTGAATCTTTATATTATGGTAACTTGGCGATATTTTGGCGAAAATTTGGAGACCAACCCTACTACAGCAAACTGCTAGTTTTTTTTTTTTTTTTTTTTTGACGCCATTTTTTTTCACGAAGTAAAGGCATGTTTTGTTTTTGAAGGCATGAACTTTAGCAGCGAAATTATTTATAAGTGCTTATTAGCTAAAATCACGATCGGAAGTTTTCGGAAAATGTCACATGACATGTCTCATCATCTCTCATTTCTCTGAGACAAAATAATTTGTGATTCGAACTGTGTATTTCTCAGATTATTGCTAAAGTCCTAGCTAGTAACCTTTATCGCCTTACCAAAATGTCGCCAAACTACCTGTTACCATATTCTAAAGATTAGCCGAATCTGAATTTCGAAATGTGAAAGAAAGCATGAAATAAGTTTAATAAAAAGAGAGAGATTAATAAATATATACCAAACTCAATTAACACTGAGGATCTAAAATTTTGAGAGCTAATTTTTCAAAAACCACTCTTGCGATTTTTACAAAACTTGGTAGTTTGGCGTAATATGAGTCATAGAATTGAAATATGGAAAAACATTTGGTATGTTATTTCAGAGAAAGTCCGATTTTGAGTCAAAATACCTATATTAGAACAATGCTATATATAAATCTAATACATATTCTAAGTCGCGATTTCGAGACATGAAAAACGTAAGTTGAATTTCGTCAATCGGTCCAGTAGAACGGTATATATAGAACTGTACTCTTTTTTTTTCGCAGTGTACGTTGTCATTTCCCGTGCGAATCTAGAGCAGTATGCATGGGCACAGGAATGCAAAGTATGAATTTTATTTGAGAGCTGCGGACGGAAACGAAGGCGTTGCTAGTCGTTGAAGAAAGTATTTAGAAATCGTAGTCTGTATCCTTTTTAAGTAGCTGCTCCAGTTTAACTACAGCCCTTTTGATAAAATGAATATCAGTACAGTTCGCATTCCAGTAATAATGCATATTTCTCGTAATTCGCCCGAGGAAAGACAATTTACGTAAGCAGAATACATTCACATACTACTCAACAGCGCCTTATAACACATTAACTATCCAGTTCTGCTTATATATTATTACATAATAAAACATGCTTTTTCTGTCACCTCTGCCTGCCCTTTACATTTTTACCAGATATTTTTAACCACCTTGTATAACGAGAGAAACTGCATACCTTTAACCGATTTAAACAAAATATGTTAAAAATAAATTTACCGTATGATTTGATTGAATTGGATTATTTAATTATGGCAAAGCACACGAGGGCTATCTGCCTAAAGGGAGGGATGCCTTCGTGGAGGACTTTCTAACTGTATGATTTGAATGAGGGAGCTTATGAAAATATAGTACGCTTTAGAGCATTTAAGAGCTTATGTACACAGCGAAAAAAAAAGGGAGGACAGCTCTATAATCTCGTTCTACTGGGCCGATTAACGAAATTCAAATTGAGTTTTCGATGTATCGAAAGCGAGACTTATGATATATATTAGATTTAGATATAGAGCATTGTTCTAACATAAGTATTTTGACACAAAATCCAACTTTTTCTGAAATAACATACCAATTTTTTTTCCATATTTCGATTCTACGACTCAAATTATGCCTAGATATTAAATTTCGTAATTTTTGGAGAGAAATTTATGGAGAAATTTAAAAATTTACCTTTGCAAATTTTTTTTTTTAGGTTTGCGCCATGAATAATTCACTTGACGAACTTCTTAATTTATAGCAACCTATTTTCGTTTGTGCTTTTTTCTTTGTGCAACGATCGGGGAAAAAAGTCATCGTTCATACTTTCAAATAATTTTAACAAATTGCGTAAACCACATTATCGTTTATAATAAATACGCCAAATTTCAAAACGCTCCAAAATGTAATTTCACGTATATCATAGGACATTTTGAATAAAAAACTCTAATCTTTTGCAGGTATGCTTAGAAATACATCTACTTTCAGATGACGACAAAAATTTTACAGGTTTATAATTCAAATGTGTTTTTGTAAAATTTATGAAAATTATTTTAAAATGTGAAATTGATTTTGAAATGTGAAAGGAAGAATAAAATAAGTTTATTAAAAAAAGAGATATTAATAAATATATCAAATTCAATTAACATTGAGAAGCTAAAATTTTGAGAGCTAATCTTTTCAAAACTACTCATACGACTTTTACAAAACTTGGCAGTTTGGCATAATTTCAGTCGCAGAATCTAAATATGGAAAACACGTAGCATGTCATTTCAGAAAAAGTCTAATTTTGGATCAAAATACCTATATTAGAACAATGCTATATATAAATCTAATACACATCCTAAGTCGCGCTTTCGGGACATTAAAAACACAAGTTGAATTTTGTTAATTGGCCCAGTAGAACAGGAAATATAGAACTGTTCCTTTTTTTTTTGCGCAATGTACCTATAATAAAGTAATATGTGAAAGTACCCAAGTATAACTTTAAGGTATGAACTCAAAGACTGCCAATAATACCTTTTTGCTGACCTAAGAGCTGTCGCATTACAGACATGCTGTAAATGTGCTTTTACTATTGTTATTTTTATGGGAAAATTTGTTGAAGAAGAAACGCCCATTACACATTAAAAAAGAATTTTGTTTTGAAATACTATACGTAGTGAGATAAATATTGCATCACAAGCCTAGCAGACTGGAGGATGAGTTATTTGCGTATAACTAAGCTATATAGTAAAGCTATGAATAAAGAAAGAGATGGATACTGTTGTTTAAAAGAACAAATTAATAGTACATATGAGTCTTAAAATAAAAATCTGCTTGAAATCATCCTACAACTACCTGAACCTTTAGCTTTGGGAATTACCTAAAGTGAAAATAGACCCTGGATGTATTTTTTAAAGCTTCCAGCAAATTTGCGGGAAAAAAGAAATCTGAAACTATCAAGATTACACGAGTTTGAAGGAACTGATTTCGTTCTACAGAATACGGTTTTGCAATATATAACTCAGGTTGTATTACAATACAGGGTTTCTTTACATAAATTCACGTATTTTTTCTTGAAACTTTAAGAGCTGTCTTAGAGGAGAATAAAAATGTTAATTCGAGATATTGCCTATATGAAAACGGATTATAACTTAAAACTGAATTCGGATAAGATGGATGACTGTTGTGAGTAACTATAACAAGATCCTAGTTTATACTTATGAAAGAACAAAGGAAGTAAAATAAAGATATTGCTTGTTATGTTTTGATTACTGTAAAACGCAGAAAAATATTATATTAAAAAGTAGTAAAGCTAGTTATTTCCATAAAAGATGTTTGTGAATTATTTTCTAAAAAATTAAATTCTACCCTACATGCTGCAAATGAATTATACATATACGTATATTTTACAATTTTTAACATTCCATTTTTAAGCAACATTCTCAGACAGTCATTTCCATAAAATCAAAAATGATTACACTCACCTTGGATCAGGATCAACAAGCAGCATTGTTGGTGGTAAATCTCTAATATAGGTATTTATGCCAGAGTAAAATATGCTTCCAAAAAGACCTAAGAACCCAAGAAACAAGCCCGCAACTGGCCACCTGAAAACAAGTTACGGTAAACTATGAATGAACTATGAACTAAACTGTGAATAATGGAATTAGTAACAGTTTCTGGGAGCATTAGCAAAGGCAACAAAAGTTGTCGGTATGCGGTGGGATGAAATGCAGTGGAAAAAAATGAACTCCACATATTTGAAAGCAGTAAATACCAAATCATAGTTATAACTATCAATATTGTAATAGTACATTCTTATAACTATAAATACAAGTTATAGTTTTACTCCGTTAGTTGGGAAGTTTATAAAACAAGTAAATTACCATAACAGCCGAGTCCATCACTGCCAGTACATCAGATATACTGCCAGTACATCAGGATGGCAGTAATTAGTAGAGATTTTCTAGTTTATGTTATCGGTGGTTTGAAAGTTAGAGAAGTGAAACAGGTTTCATCGTTCACGTAGTGACTGGAATACGATAATGACTGCTTATTGTAATGCGCAGATGTAAGGAATATGAACACATTTTTTAAATGAATTTGTAATATAAAATACTTATTTAAATCCCGAAAGCATTCCATTTCTATATTAGCCAAAATAGCAGCTCTCAATGAAATTGGTATTAAAACAATGCTTCCATAGCCTTATTTAAATTTCAAATGCGAACTAAAACAATTTGCCTAAATTATCCAACAACTCTGTTTCTACGGCCTAGATCTTTGTCTAGTATAAGTTACTCATGCTGTATAATTTTAATGAACTTTTACATCATGTTAATATATCCACTTAGGAGCTTTATAAACTATAAATAATTTGCTCCAACATATTATTAGTACGGTTCAATATAACATTTTGTTTCCAGTTTTATTATATTTTTGTTACTTAATATATTTATCCATTATTTTTGTTATATCAAAAGAAATGTTCTCAATTTAATTTGTGCATTAAAATTTTATTGTAATGCCATTATGTTCTAAATCACGTTTTTTAATAAATACTGGATGAAGCGTGTACGATGAGATTGCCTGATGTACCATAACAGGTAAACTCAAAAACTTTGGAAAGCTTCATATACTCGTATCCTCGGTGGAACTCAACCACTTCTTTGAGAACTCTTACCAGGCTTCCAAACTTTTAAGGGTTAATTAGTATGGGAATGCATTATCATTTCACCTATGGTGCATCGCTGGTATCTCCCACGCTTTACCTGTATACGAGTATCTGGAGGAACTTATACACTCAAATGCTAATTCCAACGGAATCCCCCACAAAATTGCAACAACTAAAATTTTATGCCCCAACTAATTTTATATTCAGAATGATGCTTCACATCTGCATGCTGACCAAACATCTCATATGGCCAAAGTCATCAAAGATACCATCTTCCCAGCAGTCGATTCAACCTATGATACTCCTCAGCAGACAGCCATCTGATAGGACAACTTCGCTCCTTCCACCAGAAAGGATGTTTCTTTTAACATTTAAGAAACCAACCAAGTGTATCGCTCACTGCCTAAGAAAAATGTGCCCTTGTCTTGATGAATTAGATTATAACAACCTTAAACTAGCTTTCAGCTCTCAACCCGTCTTCCTCCTACAATATTTGAGCTGTTCAAACATCAGCCTTTTCCAAAGGCTTTCAAAACTGGTTAAGTAATCTTCGTTCTCAAAAGGGACAGAGATGCACGAGATCCGCGGCCAGTCCCTAAAATCTGCCTTCTCCCAACCCTGGGGAAAATATCCTTGCTCAACTACTTAATTACTATTTACAAGTGCACAGCTTCCTTAGCCATAACAATCTGGATTTCGCTCTGGTCTATCAGCCTTACATGCACTGGAGGAAATAAGCCAACATATCAACAACAACAGGAATCAACAACAGCAGCAACGGGCTACCCGTTCAACATCTATCACATCTTCGACAGCTACTTGAAGGAAAGATTTGTCATTCTGACAAATAATATCGGCCTCACCATGAAATATCAAGAACGATAGTATTCTCAGGGCTTCTGTGCAGGCCCCTCATTTTGGAATTTAACTTTCAACTCTATACTAGCTGCTCAGTGACCAGAATACACGCATTTAATCGTATACACAGATGACGTTGCATTTCTGGTCAGTGGCCGCACCAGGAAAGAGCTAGAACAACAAGGTACAAAGATTTGCAACCATTTCACAGCTCTGTACAATAGATTAAAATTACGGATCTCAAATGAGAAAACAGCAGCACTTATCTCATGTCCAGGTACCAACCCTACCCGCAAACCTTGCATCAATCTCTCAGGGAGAAACAACAAAGTAGTTAAAGAACTTAGGTACCTGTGGCTTATTTGGGACAAGGGTCTTATCTGGCTTCCGTATCTACGGGCACTGCGCTACGCAACTCACGCCATTGCCAGTAAAACTCGCCAATTCTAGGGTTTCAACTAAGGGCAAAACCTGCACATCAACAAGATCCTGTATCATACAGTTATTGAAAAAATGGTCCTATATGTAGCCGCCATATAATCCTCTCCAATGGGAATCCGCAAACAGAAGCATTTTCTCATGATTCAACAGCCATTTGCATTAAATCTCTGCAAAGGTTATCGTACTACAGCCATCAGTGCCGCAGAAATGGGTTTGCTCCAATTGCACCTAACAACGGAACAGGAAGCCACCATCACTCATATCCTGCAACTATAGAAAGATGTAGCCTTTCACAACACCAAGTATAGCCCAGTTTTCTTTAAACTTCAGGAACAGCTTAATAAACTGCAAGGAAAATACGTATCAGCATTAATAGCACAAGACTCTACCTCATACAAGATCGATTCGCAGTTATTCTACACTGACGGTCCAAAGACCCAAGAAAGAGTTAGCTGTGCTTATGTCCAATATAAAGACCATAAAATACAAATATCTGGAAAGGGCAGTTGCAATAATTCAATAGAGTTTTCTAATCGGAGGCACCGGCCGTCTTAAAGGCCATTGAGCAAACTACAAAAGAAAATAATCCATATGACATTTATCTACTCTGATAGCAAATCATATATTCTGATCATTCTAAATCTTCGGCACACTTCTCCTCTCATAACAGCCATTCCATTTAAGAACAATTATACAATAACAGAAATGCATCCAACTTGTATGCGTTAAAGCACATGATGTAGTGAAAGGCAATGAAATGGCTGACCATCTAGCAAAGGAGGTCGCGTATGACAATGACGCAAGGCTAAGACATATTTCTGCACGCTCGTCTCACCTTAAACGTATTCTTCATTGTGAAGCAATAATCCTCTGGCAGCAAGAATGGAATAATAGCGAACGGGACGTCACGTCGCTCTCAATCTTTCATTCCAAACATCTCTACTGATCGTCACATTTCCATCCCTCAGTTCAGGCGTTTTATAACTGGCCATGGCCCTCTCCGACTTATTCCAAAATGTATGGAATCACCAATACTGATGTCTGTCAAAATCGTAAAAACAACCTTGTATTTAGCGTAATATTGAAACACTCAATCGATTTCGAGGGCAGCTAAAGGTCCCCTCGAAATCGATTGACCTTTAGCTGCCCTCGAAATCGATTGAGTTGTTTCAATATACTTACGCTAAATACAAGGTTGTTTTAACGATTTTGATTGTCACATTAGCGTGTTTCTCTTCTAGTCTACTGGTATCTGTGTTCGCGGCCAAGACGACAGCCGTGTCCAATACATGTACAGTTGTACACTTACTATCTCTTTATATCTACAAATACCTCCAAACAACCCAAAGAACACGGCGGCTTCCTGGTTACAAATCGGGCCGGAAACACCAAAATGTACAATATCTTGGATTTAGTATCAGCCATAGCACAGGACATTTATCAGGCTCGCTGAACAAGACATTTCTCTGAGCAAAACTTGTATGTCATATCTAGTATTATCTTATCTGTGCGGCGCATGAGTATGTAATTTAGCATAATCGCAACTGATAAACACCGAGTAACCTAGAGTTTAATTCATGCTCTCTAGTTTATATTTTCGCACTGCAAAATATTTCTTACATCAACTGTCTCCAAAAAAAGAGGTGTCATTGTATCTAAACCTAGCCCTTGCATGGTCATGTAACTTAACTAAATTTTTAAATTCTTCAATAAAAGCTGGATAGTGGAGGACGAGGGGCGCATACCTGCTTACCTCTGGCAGACGTCAGGGTGCCCTCGTCTTCCGTCACCTGTCACATGTATACCTGTATCTGTTACATATTACATCTGCAACTGGTTTTTTAAACTTGACAATTAATCGAATGCATCAGATTTATTCGAAAATTGTATAATGAATATTACAGAAGATCGGCCAGTAAAAGCCAATCGGCCAGTAAAAGCTGCTGAACACTGGTGGTTCGGTCAGGGTTCGGAACGGGCTGGCCACATTGGGCATTTTCGTGGCTTTCCCCATATGTAACATGGATGCGACCCACCTTTCCTTGAAAGGTTCTCCACGGGACATCCCTTCCCTTTCTTGTAGTACCTAACGTACGAGCACGTAATTAAAAAAATTATCATTGAAGAATATGTAAATGATTAGCATTGTAACACATACATACATACATTTATATACGAACAAGAATTTAGAAATTTCAAATCAGAATTGTTAATCCTTTCTCACATTTGACTTTTCGTGGTTTTTCGTCTATTTAGAAACATTTTATTTATGCAAAATTTATCTTAAAAAATACCTGCTTGCTTTACTTTTAGGTAAATTACTTTATAAAATAACTCGGTTTACATTTCTTAAATTTTGACTGCAAAATTTAATTAATTTTGTATTGCAACAATCATTTAATAGTTAACCTGTTTCTTTATATGGAAATTTATTATGTGAATATTAATTTACCTAATTGCTTTTAAGTTGCTTAATTGTTTTTCTGATTTCTAATTTCGAGTATTCTAATTTTGTATTGTTTTACTTTTGTAGAGTATGATTTGTTTAAGGTTGTGTTTGAGGACATTATATGTTGATGATTGGTTGAAAGATCTTTCAAACTTAATTTTAATAGCATGCTTTAATAATAATATTATATGAAACATTTATGGTGCTGCATTTTTTATTTTGAATTATTTTAAATGTTTTATTATTTTATTTGAAATTCGTTGATAATTTACACTCACTTTTTAAATTTTTTATTTATTAGCCTCAGATATGCTATTAGTCAGGAAACTTACTTTTTGTTCGTATTCCTTTGTGTTTGAATCTCTTTTCAAATTGTTGCCACCAAATGTTATCGCAATGTATTACTTTTAAAACAATTATATAATGGGAATCTCTAGTGCGTTTGTACGTTCCTCGCATTATGAAAAATCGACAGTACCTGCAGTCAGAGAATTTTTAATATACGTAGCGAATTGCCACCCGAGCAGGAGCATCTCGTAGCTGAATTTTGAATTTCAAATTTATTTTTAATTTACTTCACATTTTGTACAAATTTAACGAATTTTTTATAAAAAAACCCAGCAATTTGAGAGCGAGGAGCAATATACAACCCAAGACTAACAACCCAAGTATTAACAACCCAAGGCTGTACTAGGACTTTCAAGAATTAAGCCAAGGTTCGACAGCGTTTTTTCTCTCAATGTAGTGCTTAATAATACCCAGGTAACAGTCAAACCTTGCACGGTTTAGGAATTAATAATCCCAGAAAATACTGCGAAAACACATCTTAGAAAGCCAATAACATGTATACGTTGGAAAAAATGGGAATTCAGGTTGTAGAGACATTAAGTTATTTTGGACGAGAGATGAAATGTGAGCAACGCCTTCGCCGGGACTCGAACCACGGACCTCTCGAATGCGAGTCGAGCTCGTTAACCACTACACTACGAAGGCATGATAATAAAAAAAAAAAAAAAAAAAAAAAAAAAAAAGAAAAAAAAAAAAAAAAAAGAAAAAAAAAAAAAAAAAAAAAAAACGGAAAAAAAAAAAAAAAAAAAAAAAAAAAAAAAAAAAAAAAAAAAAAAACAAAAAAAAAAAAAAAAAAAAAAAAAAAAAAAAAAACGGGAGAAATACCTCATATACTTCACCTTTTAAAGAGCGACTGGGGATTTAGGGGACTCAATCGCCAAATCCTGGTGGTGAAGAATCGTCATTCGTCACCTTTCAGTTCGGGCGCCACTGTAGAGACATTAGCAAGAAGCAGGAAGTGTAAAATATGAGCAATGCCCTCGCCGGGACTCGAACGACGGACCTCTCGAAGACGCGTCAAGCGTGCTGACCACTACACTACGAAGGAGAGAGAAATACCTTATAAGGTGAACTAAAAAGGTTCTCTGACAAGATCTTTCCAAAGATTCGGATCAAAAGTTATAACAATAGACTATCTCATTTCGCAAATAACCAATTATCATGGAAAATTTCTCATGTATGATAAGGTAATTTATCACTCCTTTCCGCATGAATGTGGAACTTCGTGGAGTAACTGAAAGCATACCCGACGCGTATTCGAGATGTCTAGGGTTCGAATCTCGGTCCAGGGTTCAAGAGCATTGCACATTTTTCACGTCTCTTGCTTCAATATACCCTAATGACTCTACAAGTGGAACTCTACAAGTCGAACTAAAAGTTGGAGGACGATAATTCTTCGCCACCAGGATTTAGTAGTTCAGACCCTTTATCCCCAATCCCCTTTTAAAAGGGGGAGTATATAAGATATATTTCTCCCACATTGGTGGCGTTATTGGCAGCATACGCGTGTTCGGGTCCTGGAGAAGGCATTGCACATTCTTCACGTCTCCAACATTAAGAACCCTAATGACTCAACAGTATTTTCAAATAGCCTTTAGTAAAAATATTAAATATTGTTATGGAAAGACTGCCTTTGAAACAGATTCTCTCGACTGTATACATAACTCTCCTGTTTTGGAAGGAAATAAGAAGAATGTTCTTTCACAGGCCATTTACAAGTATAAATCTAAATATGACATTTCAGACGGGTTTTTACATTGAAGGGCTCAATAAAGTCAGGAGATTTACTGCAGGAAATAAAGGTAAAATAACTGTTAGCTCATAAACCATAACTGTTAGCTCATAAACATAATATATGTATAATATTATTAAGTGTGTGCACGGGTTCATAATGGATTGAATGCATGTAAAATCAATGACAGCTTGACGAAATTTATTTTTCTAAAAACGCTTCACAATTCTGAAGCTTTTCATGCAAACGTTCTCATACAACTTCTCAGTATGACAGAGCACAATCAGTCGTTGCCACTTCAAGCTGTTGAGAACGTTGAACATAATGCAAAACGCATCTAAAAGTGGAGCTCGCCTGCTGATCTCTCAATATTGTAAACTCGACTGGAAACTGTTGCTTTCTACGGTCTCATTATAGTTTTTCATCTTCCGCCGAGAAATGTCCAGTACCTTCAGACAGACAAAGTACACAGATGCCTTTTGTTGCACCCGCTAAGTCTTTCTGCACCGATGGGCGAAAAATCAAATATAGATGCGAAGGAAAGGTATATAGAGAGGGGGGCATTTTCGTATTTCAGAGGAGAGTAAAAAAGAACTTTGTATATTTTATACGAGTTCGAAAGGCCAGGAAGAAAAGATGGGACAAAATAAAATAAAAGGTCCAAAAGTAATGGAGAGAAAAAAAATTATATTAATATTTTTTTTAAAGGGCTTATAGAAGGAAAAGGAAAGAAAATAAGAGAATTTTCTTTAAAAAAAAAACAACGATTGTGTCCATGAGTGTAGTCAAAAAGGGGAGGAAGTTGTTATCATTTACATTAAACAGAGTCTTCCAGGTGTGTGTAATGAGTGTGTTTTGTAAAGCTGAATAGATGTGAAGGTGAGAGAAAATTAATTATAAAAATATAAATATTGGGGGTCCAGTCACTTAACAGTATAAGTCTAGTTTAGAAGCTAACTTTTAATATGACAGGGAAACTAAAATTTTAAAATTTTAAAATTAATTTTTTTAACATGGGAAGCAATATGTTAGCCTCTACTTTGAGACACAAAAACAAAAGACACATAAGATCCAAATACATATAATATCAGGCAAAATTATATATTAACTAAAGTAACATCATCTACTGCGGTTTCCAACATATTCATTTAATTATTCAAAAAACAGCATCAGATAAAATCATAAATCCAAACATTGCGAGAACATATCAGCAAAAATAAATAAGTAAATAAATTAAAGAGTTTATATTAATTTTAATATTAATTAGTTTTTTTAAAAAATAAGCATTTTATTTATTTATTTAACCGTCATAATTTATTATATTTTTACTAGTTTATCAAGGTCCAGTACCTTCGATTTCCAAAATTGCTGGATAGCATACGGTTACAGCTACATAGAGACGGATACAGTTGCAGTTATAGTTCCGACCAGTTACAGTTCAGACCAAAATGTCGCCAAAAGTTAACAAGTCTGGCGAATTTGGACGATTTCTCATCATCTTCGGTGATAAAAATTAGTTGTTAAAACGAACGCCAACTTGGCGATTGGTGAGACATTTACCTCAATGTTAAATGGATTTACTTCTCTAACCCTATTCTACCGGCGATGCCCACATTCTGGAGCCTTTCATGTTACATCGTTTAAGAGATATTACAGTTCACATGCAATTTCGCTAAAATTATTTAAATAAAAAATGTATTATGTACACAAAATTCGTAACAGTATATTTACTGTCCTTTACGTCCCGTAATTTTCTTGTTCTTTATGTGTACCTCAGTTTTAATTACGTATATAATAAATAGTATTCCTATCTTACATTTATGCATGTAATACTGAAATATTTATGACAAAATTATTTATGTAGATGATCAAGATGATCTGCATATATGAAATAGACAAATATGAATTCTACAAGATTTATCTGAGCATTTTATAAAATATTTTTTGAAACTCTGCTGTCTTATTAACTTAACCTAAAACTATTGCAATATTTTACACGATGTGTGGACCTTTTTATTTGCTTTTGTTCATACTATATCTTTGCAGTTTAATTTTTTTTCACGTCTTCCCATTTTATGTTACCTTTTCTGCCTTTTTTAAAAGAAATTTGTGTTAAATATTTTCACCTTAACTTAAATTTTATTTTCTCAACAATTTATAATAGAGAATTTTTTATATGGATTTATTTACAAAATAATTAATACAATTAAATAACTAATTAATTATAACTATTAATTATAATTTTAACATTGATTTATTTGACTTCATCAAATATTAAACAACGAATTTAATTTTGATTTATGTTCGTACCAAGCATTTATGAAATATAATAGTGCGAGAAAAAAGAAGTCGTTAAATGCGCATGAGAATTATTATGGGTTGCGAAAAATTGAGTACTTACTTCAAAAGCGGTAACAGTATAATAAGAGCAGCTATATACATCTGCATGTCACATGCAATATACCACGTATGAGGAAGACACTAGAGAAAAAAATAGGGATATTATTTACATGTCAATGGCTGGATAATAAAAAATATTGTATTAGATAAAAATGTTATTAAAAATTTATTTACAAATCGTGATTAATGATCCATAGCATGCACTATTATCTTCCTATTTCATGGTCTCGGATACATTAGTTATGCTATGTATTTGTGCATTGTCATCCAAGAACCGAGGGTCTGGACCCATTGCACCGCGGAAAAGATTAAAGTAGCCCTGCGTCAGTCATCCGACTGCTTACCTACCATATTAGGTTCTCAAATGGTACCTTATAATCATTCTGTGCTGAATAGTGCCTATAATAGATTAAAATTTACAACCCTATCTTTTGGATATTTGATTGTCCCCTTAAATTTCACTTTTGAAATTTATGTTAAATAACACGTGAGTTTTGTGTTAAATAACAATGAGCTTTAGTGAATAAACAGCTCCAGTGCAATGGTTTATTGTACAGATAAGAGGTCTTGCTCTACAACATTCTCTACGCTTATTTATCTGTTGAAAAGTTGCTTTGCATAATTTGCACTTTAATAATTGCCAACAACTGAAATGAACTGTTATAAGTACATGCGAAGCTATGTAATTTGAGATAACGATTTTATTGATAGATAAAATAAATTGCAATCAGATAATTACAAAATTAAGTCAGTTAACAGTATGAAACCCTTCTCTTCCCCTTTCCCCCCATTAGTTATAAAACCATCTTTCTTTCCCTCTATTAGCTATAAAATTACATGCATTTTAGAAAATGTTAACTGTTATTTTGTATTTTCTTCTATATATCAATAAAACTCACAGCTCTAGGCTAGGCTTAAAGATATCCCTCCGGATATAAACTCTTAGATACAGTATTCTTTGCCAGTGTGGTTTAATATACGTTCGTCAAACTATCAGAGCTTTAAAACTTCGCTGAGGAATATGAAGCTTATGTTAGGAAAATAAAAGAAACATATAAGTCTTCTGTTTCTTAATATTGTTGTTGAAAAAAATCATTCCACTTTTCTGCAGACAAAATTACTCAAAAATTCATTTTCCGTTCGAAAATAGATTTATTTCACATTCATAAAAAAACTCTTTTACTTCTAGTTAATAATCCAAATTAAAATCTGAATATACCCTCAGATTTTATAAAAATTATTTCATAGTTATTTTCAGAATTGTGTCCCTCAATGACGTAGAACTGCGTAACTCAATGACGATCTTGGACGCAAAAAATATTTAAAAAAAATACGCAAAACGTGTCTTAGTAGTATACTTATATCTCAATCACTTCCAAAGCTAGAGTTTTCGTTTATGGTTTATTTGATAATTAAAGGAGACTTTTACAAATCAGGTAACATAATTGAAAATTGGAATTGTAGTTGAGCCACAATAGAGTCTCAATATTAGGCAAAAATCACAATATTTTGATGACGTCACAACTGCGCGTTCAGTTAGATTATAACACTTCAGTTCTATGTTGGAGTCGAAGGTGAACAGTTCTGACAGCGACGTACTGATTTTAGTTGTACAAAAATAAATATAAAATATCGAATAATAACGATGCACTAATAAAACATCATAATAAATAAACAGAAAAGTTAAAGAAAGATTAATTGTAAGAACATAATAAAGAATGTTTAGCTGTAAAGAGGAAAGATTGCAAGCAATATTATGAAAATAATAAGAATAAAATAAAATCGATTGAAGTTGTCAGTTTTCAAATAAATCACGGTACTTCAACTTCTTCTGATTCTACTGTTTCTACCAGATTATGGTGGAGAGATTCTTCAATGGTGCCCGTCAATAAAAACAAAATAATCAGTTGTATATACGATATTTGAAAATCGTAGGAATTAGTTCTACTTAGCCAAACCCAGCGGCCATTTGGAACAAATGTAACAACCAGCCACTTGTCATTTTTTTCATCAATAACTGTGTTTTCATTTTTGATGGAACTTTCTCGAATTTTCTAGTCTATTGTTTTCACTGGTATCAAGTAAGCATAAGCTTTTCTTTCATTATTTTTACTTATGCACCTGAGGAAGAAGACTCTATAGTCGAACCTTTGAAACTGTACCTCAAATTTATAAAAATTAGCTGATTCCTGTTATTTGAACTCTCTTATAATTACGAAACATATTAAGAAATTCTTCATCTGAATTATTTTGAATCATGTGCATGAATGATTTAAATTTTCTTTACAGACACAATTATTTAGAAATTTGTGGACTTCGTACTGGGACGATTTGGATTTCGTTTTTTTTTTTTCTGTATCAAAAACTATTTTTATACATTTATCGATTTTTACATTTATCTACACATGACCTCTGTATACGAATAGTGAAATCCCTCTCATACGTTTTCTTCAATACTACAATCTGCAATCAAATTGAACGATAGGTCCCTTTTTGGAAGAACTTAGAGTCTTGCAAAGCAAGATGGATGGCTTTGTTAGGCTCAATTGATGTATATTAAAGTTGTTTTGGTTAAAATAGACACATTTCTCTGCTTCTGAATGGCAACGCGAAATGCGTCTGGATATACTGCCCCGTAGTTTTTAATTAATCTGATTTAACTAATCTGAAGATCTTTTTACAGGGCAAAATGCCCACACTACTTTATTTTTATCTAATTCTGTTTCGAGTCGAAAATACATAGGTTCACTGTATTTATTATTATAAATTTCACACATTTTTTATGCTCGTCAAAAACCTCCTGCAAACTTGCACAATTTATCTTTCAGACGTATTCTCCATTACAGTTCAATACATGTGTAATAAGAAGCATTCAAATAATATTGGAAATTTTACGGGAATTATTGGGAATCTTGGGAATCATATAAGATTTTTGAGCTGAAATTTCGATTGAGGAAATCGATGGAGTTATATGATATTTTTCAAACGCTCCTTAGGCAAAGTCTTGTTTTTAAACTCTCAGTGATGTTTTATAATTGAACAGAATAGATGGACGATGGGAAAAACATAATAATTAAGAATAGAATAAATGAATGTTTAACTATCAAGACAAGTTCCTAAAATACTGGATCTCTTAATTGACGTACCTTGGGCTCGTAAGCTGAAGTGACCCATAAGTTTAGTTTGTTTAGTTGTCATAAAGCACTCGAAGCTATCTGCTGGAAGGAGAGGGAAGCCTTCGTGGCAAGGATTTCTTCAGTGAATCACGTTCGTATGTTCGTATATACAATACACGTGACGAAAATGCCGTTAAAGGTAAGTACCAGCCATTAAAAAAAACGTGAAGAAAACCACAAAAACGGCCATGATGCGAGCGCGTTCGCTGGCGATTCGAATCCGTACCAAACTACCAGTTTCGGCGACTTTTCCGCTGGACTGAGTACGGGATACTGAAGTAAGAGATGTTGTTGCGGCAAAGCCAGCGAACTATTAAAAATAACATTACCCTTTTTGTGAATGGCATCACTTAATTTTTTGTATTTATAAATGTTCTTTTGCTTGTTCTATACTTCATGTTTATGATAGGAAATAAATAAGTATAAAATACTATCTCCTAATATCTGGTGCCGAGAAAAACCATTTACGAAACGGGACCTTGAACTTATACTTCCTACTGTTGGATTATTCTTGCTGAAATATTTTACTTCCGACATTAAAACTTAGTTTTGTTTTTGTTCTTTTCTACTATTCTGGCAATGGCGCCGACCGGTGAAGCTGTAGACAAAATGACGCAACTGAAACGAAAGCGGAAAGCCGTGCGAAGTAATGTTTCTTGCTTTTCTACTGAAATTGATACTTTGAACGATGATTTCCCAATTGAGAAAGTTGAATATATTTGTAATCGCTTAACAACTGCTTTAAATGATATGAAACTAATAGCTAACGAAATTCACAACTTCCTCTTTGACGATGAATAATCTGACGATAATATGATACTTTGCAGTGTGAAAACTACATAGATACTGGTGAATCCGCAATTTTCAAAGCACGAAAAGTTATTCAAAATAAATTATCGCCAACTCCAAATAATGTTACTGCTTCGAATATGGATACCAATGATTTAGCGATGACAATTGGCGACCCTCCTACTACAGTGCCTATGACTCAACCATATACAGTTAAAGTGCCAACAATTAAACTACAGTCATTTACAGGAGAAATTGAACAGTGGCAATGTTTTAGGGAACAGTTTTAAATCTTCTATAGATGCCAATCCACATCTTTCTGTTATTGATAAACATGTTTTCCTCAGAGGTTATTTAGATGGTGAAGCTAAACGCCTTGTTGATGGAATTAGTGTAGTAGGAGACACCTATGAAACAACAAAAAATTGTTGAAGGAAAGATATGGAAATAAAGATTTAATTATATAATCACACTTAGATTACTTAGAACATTTAAATGTTATTCAAGACCCATCTCCTACGCATCTAAATGATCTTTACATAGAATGTAACAGAAGAATTCAAGCTTTAACTGCTCTGGGTGAAAATATTGAAGCATACGGTAGAATCCTAGTGCCAAAAATTATTCGTGCATTCCCCAATGATATTTGTTGCCGCTGGATTATCTATGCCAAGCGTGAAAAACTAAACGAAGGTAATATTACTAGATTGATGCAGTTCTTGGCAGAAGAAGTGGAAGGTGTAGTTGCAGCACAAAGAGTTAAAGGTACGTCTTTTTCTGATCACACCGTAAAGTGCACTGTAGAAAATTTTAATATCAATTCCAAAACAGTAAACAAACGTAAGAAAATTTCACCATTTTGTTCATTTTGTGATACTACAGGACATTGGCCTCAATATTGTGAAACTGTTACAGACTATGATACTCGTGTTCAGAAACTTAAAACTTCAAATCGCTGCTTTCTGTGTACTAACCGTGGTCATAGAGTTTCAAACTGCCCAAGAAAAAATACTGCACGGTGCACTAAATGCAAGAAAAGGCATCATGTTTCTATTTGTCCTCCTGTTGAAAACAATCAACTGCGGATAACTAACAGTGCTGTAAATCACATAACCTTTCCTAAAACAATTTTCACACATTTGCAAACTGCTCGTGTGTATGTTACTGGCCCCACAGGCATTACTAAATTAACACGCTGCATTTTAGATGGTGGTAGCCAAGCAAGTTTTGTTCACACAAACCTCATTGAAAAACTTGAGTTGTCAGTTCTGCCTCACTTTCAGTTCAAGCATTTGAATCTTTTACTTCACAAGAACAACGTAGATGTGTTCAACTGTCACTTTCAAGTTTGTGGAGCAACCAAGCATTTTTGATCTCCGCATTTGAAAGCTCCAATTCCTATACTACACATCCTACTGCTCCACCAGAAATAGTTCACTTTGCTCAGAAGAAAAGATTGAGAATTGCTGATCCTCCGGATGACTCTTCACTGCCCATAGAAATACTTATTGGTGGTGATCATTATTGGCAAATTGTTTCCACAGAAGCTCCAATCAAGCTTTCAGAATCTTTTGTTATGGTACCGTCAGTGTTTGGATGGGTTCTTAGTGGAACAAGAACACATACTACAATCGCTGAGAAGACTTCTGTCCATCAAGTTTGTGTGCAAGTTAAAACTGATTGTTTAAATGATCAGGTACGTCGCTTCTGGGAATTAGACTCCATAGGGATACAAGATGCGCAGAAACGAAGAATGACTACTCGAGATGAAGAAATTTTATCAGAATTTCACAAAACTTACAACACTGAAGACAATCGAAGAATTGTGTCTCTGCCTAGAAAACCATTGGTCACACCTTTGCCTACAAACAAAATTATAGCGGAAAACAGATTTCATTCTCTTCAAAAAAGACTTGCATCTAGTGATGTGTTAAAGACACAATATGACAAATGCATGCTGAATTACATTGAACAAAAGCATGTTGAAGTTTGTTCCATAGATGAATCCAATGAGAAGCCAGTATATTACCTTCCTCATCATGCTGTAAGAAAGAAAAACACAATCTGAAACCAAGTGGAGAATTGTGTTTGATGCTTCCTCGCATGCTCCAGGAATGATTTCACTCAACGATACCTTGGAAGCTGGCCCGAATCTTCTTCCTGAATCTATTGGTTGTGTACTAAGATTTCGATTGTATGAATTCGCTGTTACATGTGATGGTAAGCAAGCTTTTTTAACGTTGTCACTACATAAAGAAGATAGGGACGTCACAAAATTTTCTGGTGCAAATTAAAATCTGATTCATCTCAACCTACTACTTTTACAGATGAAATAACTGTTTACAGATTTACTCGTTTACCATTTGGCCTTACTTGCAGTCCGTTTTTTACTCTGTGCTGCGACACGAGAATTGGCTGCAAAACATATCACAGAATTTCCAATTGCTGCACCAATGATAGATAAACATCTCTATATGGATGACTTTCTTGCTAGTATGGAAACTGAATCACGCATTATAATGCTATATCACGAGATCAAGAATTTAATGGCTCTAATAAAATTGCCTATGGAAAAATGGGCTACAAACTCTTTGAAACTCAAAGATGTACTACAAACACATGAAGAATCTCACAAAACGGAAACAACTGTCTTAGGTATTGGCTGGAATACAACTTCTGATACTTTGAAGCATGCATTCAAGACTTCCCTCTGTGTTTTTACAGACAAACCACTTACAAAGAGATGGTTACTCCGCTGCATTGCTAGTTTTTATGATCCCTTAGGCCTTTTTTCACCGTTTACTATTCTTGGGAAAATCTTATTCCAAGATACATGGATTCTTGGAATCAAGTGGGATGAATTACTACCTGCTAATTTATCAACTTTATGGTATGCAGCTGTGAAAGAACTTGATGACATTTGCTCCCTTCAAATTCCTCGATGCATAGGCATTTCATCACATGTTCCTTTTGCTATTCATGTGTTTTGTGACGCATCTGAACGTGCCTATGGTTCAGTTCTGTACATTGTTACCTTTAAAGGTGACCAATCGAATGTGAATTTAGTGTGTAGTCGCAACAAACTAGCTCCTATAAAGAAAGTTACCTTACCTCGTTTGGAGCTCTTGGCCGCCCTGATGGGAGCACGATTGTTGCAATATTTCTGTGCTGAAACAAACATCTGTTCGTCAAATGCAACATTGTGGAGTGATTCTCAAGTTGTCTTAGGGTGGATACGCAGTGACCCCAACAAATGGAAAACTTTTGTTAGCAACAGAGTAACAGAAATTATTTCCTATACCAATCCTTCACAATGGAGACATTGCCCTGGCAAAGACAATCCAGCTGACAAACTTTCTCGAGGTGTTTCACCATCAACACTAAAAAACCTGGAAATTTGGTGGAACGGCCCTCCATGGTTAGTCAAATCTCTAGAATATTGGCCTCATTCTGATACTATTTCTCAAGATTACAGTCATAACTTCGAGGCAAAGAAAGAAAAAGTTCAGACCCTTCACATCGTATCTACTCAACCAATCATAAAGGCTGGAAACTACAGTTCTTACGTTCGATTGTTACGTGTAACATCTTGGATTCTTCGCTTTATTCACAACTGTAGGAAACAAGAAAAGTTAGTGGGTGAGTTACATGCCACAGAACTGAATCAAGCTCGTATTTATTGGATACAGACCGTTCAGAAAGAATCCTTTCCTTCAGAATATGAAGCTCTGTTGACAGGAAAATCACTCCCTAAGAAATCAAGGATAAAACAATTTAACCCTTTCTTCAAGAACAATATTATACTTCTTGGTGGTCGACTACAATTTTCTGATTTATCTCATGCTGAAAAACATCCCATATTATTGGAAGGTTCTCATCCTTTTACAAGCCTACTGATACGCCAAACACATTTACGAATGCATCATCTCGGTGTTCGGATTGTACTTTCTCAGCTTCGTTCAGAATATTGGATATTAAGAGCAAGACAAGCCATTAAAAAAGTGATAAAGACTTGCCTTCCATGTAAAGTACTGAAACAAAAGAGAAGTGAACAGATAGAAGCTCCATTACCAGCTGAGCGAATTCAAAAGTCATCTCCTTTCGAAACTACCGGAATTGATTTTGCTGGACCACTCTACGTAAAAAATAATAACTCCGTTACAAAAGCCTTACATTGTCATCTTCACATGTGCTACAACTCGAGCTATCCACTTAGAATTAGTTTCCGATCTGCGTACTGACGTCTTCCTACTTGCATTACAACGTTTTGTCTCTAGACGTTCACTTCCTCATACAGTGTACACTGATAATGCCACAACTTTCTGCGCTGCGGACAAAGAGCTGAAAGTTATTGTGGGATACTATATCCTCTGCCAAGGCACAACAGTTTTATGCCCACCACAACATCAAATGGAAATTCATCGCCCCCGAGCGGCTTGGTGGGGAGGATGGTGGTGGGAAAGAATGATTGGCTCAATTAAGCGATGCCTTCGGAAAACATTAAGTAAGGCTCTTTTGGATGACGCTCGTTTGATCACTGTATTATGTGATATTGAAGCCGCTTTTAACAGTAGACCGATTGTCCACGAATATGGAATAAAAGATGACTCTGAGGAGCTTTAACACCCTCGCATTTCCTCATAGGAAAGAAATTAACCACTATTCCTTCCAGCCCCACAAATCCTGAAACAAATTTAAATCATATGTGGAAAAAATCGTCAACATTTGATGGACTCCTTTTGGAAAAGATGGCAAAAGGAATATTTGATGGACTTGCGTACATTTCATCAAGTGCAGAATCCATCTGAAACAAATAAAATACGGAAAGGGGACATTGTCCTACTACAAGAAGATGTTAGACCTCGCCACACCTGGAAGAAGGCCCGTGTTGAGGAGCTAATCCTTGGCCGCGACAAAAGAGTCCGTACTTGTGTTCTGCGCACCAATGGACATACCATTACCCGACCTGTGCAGCTGGTCATCCCCCTGGAGGTTGACCAGGGTGGGGAGGATGTTGCGGCAAAGCCAGCGAACTATTAAAAATAACATTACCCTTTTTGTGAATGGCATCACTTACGTTTTTGTATTTATAAATGTTCTTTTGCTTGTTCTATACTTCATGTTTAAGACAGGAAATAAATAAGTATAAAATACTATCTCCTAATAGATGTCACACTGTATGTAGTGAAGTTATACATTAAAACTGTATACATTAAGAAGGATATTTAAAAAGGGATGATGAAAGCTGCTTTCGGTTGAATGAGAAGTTTCAGATTTTCAGATGTATGAATAGCTTTCATGTCATTTTACGTATTTAGAAAAATAAAAAGTTAATGCATACAAACCGAGTTTTCTGGTTTATGGAAATTGTTGATAAATATGAGATTTTTCCACCAGTTGTTATAGCAGTCTTCTAGATACGCATCAATACTTTCGTGCCAAACAGGTCCAGAACCGAACAGTCTAACTAAAATTATGAACATAATAGCAGCAGTGCTTAGTGGAAGAATCCTGAAAAAAATATATTTAAAGATTTAAATATGTTTTGTCAGTTGCTAAGATGCTCAATAATTATCTGTTTATTATAAATTTAACATTACCGCATATAAATTTTAAAACGAGTATCGCATTTTAAAAAGAATTTCGATCGCATAGCTATTAGAGAATGAAATTATTCACGCTCTGAAGCACGTTAGTGCTTTCTTTACACGCACAATCTTTGTGTAAGATTAAGCTGTGACACAGATTATACGGTGTGTTGCGAATGTCTTTAAACGTCGTTTTACAGAAGAACATGTTATCAACCGGCACTTTCGTAATGTGTGGCCTTCCCGATCCCCAGACCTCAATCGATGCGATGTCCGGCTTTGGGGGCATTATAAACACTTGATAAGTCATGATAATAAGTCTAGGACTTTTCGACGTCGCCATTTCACCGTGGCCGTTTCGCTGTCGGGATGTTTCGCCGTCGAAACATATTTTTCTTTACATGATTGTATTTTATCTTGTCATATTATACTCGTATTAAATTTATTTAGTTTAATATTTCTGTTTACCTTTTACATTTGTATACTTAAAAAAGGTTGCTTTTAAATTATATAGATATTTACAAGCATGAGATATAAAGAAATTACACATAGTTAGTTGGAAAATTATGTCGGTATCAAAGAGAATTGGGGCTAAACTTCTGATATAACAGATGTTATATTACCGATTTTAAAATTATGCGGGTACAATATTTGTATGATTCGTCAAAATTTCTTAAAATTTTAATCGGCTAGTTCAAAGAAATCACTCATACAAGCAGGAAATTGACATTTTTATGAAATCTGAATTGAAAATGAAATTACTTTGGAATCTTGTCAGGACATTACCCTTTTAAAATTAACATGTCATGCGTAACGATGTATTTGTATAAAATTGTACACAGAAAATTTTTTAATAAAATCTTTATTATATTAAATTAAATTACTAAACTAAACAAACTTATCAAACTAAATCATCTTAATATAATACGACAAGATATAATACATTCGTGTAAAGAAAAATATGTCTTGACGGTGAAACATCCTGACGGCAAAACAGCCCGACGGCGAAACGGCCACGGCGAAATAATCCCATTCTCATGACAATTGAGTAACTTTATCTGATCTTGTGTAGTAGTTTATGAATATGTAAATTCATTAGCTCAATTAAATTAGATCAATTAAATGCTTTTTATATGAAAAATAATTGTTTAAATTAATTACTTCCCATTAGGGTAGCACAAAACTTTCAGTTGAAGACAAAAATGCATGAGGTATTATCATTGATAACAAATGATGTCATACTAAATTTGAAAACTGCTTTAATCCACAAAACTACGTAATTTAATTGCACGTAATATGGAAGACAAAAGCATTGCCAAATCATTCATTAAAAGTAAATTGCTCAATCTTAAATATAAAACATGTTTAAAGCCATTAATTTCCTGTTTTATTTTGATGCCTATTGAAATATAAAGTTAATGTAAATAAAAAGAGACAGCATGGAAGAAGCATGAGGGAGAGAGCTTTGAAAATGGTTTAATTTACATAATCATATAAATTTATTTTCTAGATTTTATTGCTTAAAAATGCATGAACATTATTATTACTACTTTTTAATTGCACACGGATTAATTATGATTTTAAGTTAACCGTAGACTAGATATGAAATTAGAAAAATTTCACATTTTTCAAAATGCTTCTAATAAAAAATAACCTTCATATTATTATCTGAGAAGACTGAAAATCAGAAATGTTAAGTACCTTATTCAATTTTTATTCTTTTACTTCCTTGTACGAAGTAAAAAGGAAGTATTGTAATCGCGAAAAATTTCAGGCAGCCTATTTCAACGAAAATATCCATTTTGACCTCTTTCGAATGCAATTTAACGATGAAATTGCGTGATATCTGTACGTAAGACAAATAAAAACTTTTTTCTCAAAAAATTAACCCTACTTTAAAATGAATCTGAAGAGAATTTTCGCGACGTCTGCGAACGTATGTACGTACCTACGTACTTATCTCGCATAACTCAAAAACGAGTAGCTCAGAACGTTGAATTTTGTATATAGGACACTATAACATGTAGATGTGCACCTCGTATTTTTGGTTGAAATCGGCCTCGCCAAACGTATATAATATATTTATATATATATATCCACTCTGTTACCCGGCTCAGTGGATCTCAGTTTCTTTACTTCTTATGTTGTAAATTGTACATGTTTTGCTTTAAAAATGATTGAATTATGTTGTTCTTATCTTCCGGTTGAGGATTTTATGCCTCTAGTAAATCTGTATGCAATATTTTTAGAATTATCAACAATTTTAAAGTTGTTTAAGTGCCCCTAAGCCTAATAATTGGTTTTGATGGCGGCCAATGCTTGTTTACATTTGAAACCAAGGATGTTAGAACCTCCTTGTTTGAAACAGCAGAGTAGTGGATTTGTTGCCAATTTAGAGAAACGTAGTTTCGCAACAACAAAGGTAACGCCTTCATTTATTATTGCGAATTAAATCAATGCTTAATCCTTTCTGGAATTTTTTCGAGGAAATAAGTGTTTAAGATTTACGTCGTAATTTTTGATACAGATATTTTGAGTTTTTATGTATTTTTGACTTGCTGCGAAGTGAGAACTGAATTAATTGAACTCAATCGTCTGTGGAAAACAGTTTCTTTTTTGTTTTGTTTGCTTAATTTCTTTTAAACATCGTTATAGCTTTATTACTTTAACTTTTTATTCTTTTTATACATCATTATAGTATTTGAATAGAACATGTGGGAATGATTCGATAATTCTTTAAATGATATGAATTTTGCGCATTCTGAGTTATAATATGAACGAAATATAATACCGTTAAGTGAACCTAGCGCCGGAGTGCCGTTATGGTAAACAATTAAAGTGAATTTTAAAGAATGCATTTATTCTATTGTGGTTTATGCGATGCCGGCGAAGTAGGTTTAATTCAATCCAATAAGTTTAAACGAAATGTAAGAAAAAATACGTATAATTTAATATTCCGTACAAGGAAGTCATGTGGTGTACACATCAGATTTTTTTAAACTGTGAAGGGGATTTGAGAAATAAAAGCTATTTCTAGTGTAATTTTTATATATTGTGTTTCTATTAAGGTTTTACGTTATAGGTTTGTTTTCTTTGGCCTTTTTCATCAAAACTCTCAATAACACCTTTTTTAACATTTAAAATAAAAATAGTTTTTATAATTCTCATTTCAATTTCAATTAAGAATCAATAAAGTGTTTGAAGCATTACTTCGAAAACTCTTACCTCCAAATCCTGTGTAATATGTAATAACCTATGTTGATGGTTCGCTGACCCTTTGAAGCTAAGATATAAGAAAGCAGTAAACCTCTAAAAAGGAAGCAAAATATTTTACTTTTCTGATACATATTCTGAGGCGATAATTAAATTCTAAACTCTAAAATATAAATGAATTTTGGTTTCGAATTATACACTCCAAAACATTAAATAAAAAATGCTAATGTATGCAAATGACTTTCGCATCCGATGAACTATGCACATTATTATGATTTATGAATAAAATGTTTCCCAATTAATGTTACAACAATATTTAAATACTATTCAACATTATCCTGCAGATATACAATATATGAAATCATTTGACCTTACAAAGAATAGGAAAATGTAGGTACGTTTTTATCGGTAACGGATACTTAGTTGATAGCAGTTAGCCAAGAGGACATTTAGCCGGCACGGACAGTTAGCTGACAGGACATTTAGCTACCATGAACTGGACATTTAGAGAAAACGAACATTTAGCCAGCAGAATATTTAGTAGACACGAACATTTAGCGGACTGAACACTTAGCAGACAGGGTATTTAACCTACACAAGCATTTAGTCTAACCGATATAGAGTACGATATAGCGTTTAACCGATATAGCGTACACATGTGCACCCCAACCCTCTAAAAATTCAATAATATTTTAGTAAAATTTGTCCTTATTTATCTGCAAAAAAGGCTGTTTCCAGGTTACACATCGAGAAGGCTTATGGAACAAGTACCACATTTATTTATTTTATTTTATGCTAAAGAGAACACAGATTTTCAAATTAGACAGGAAAGCAACGTTATTTTGGCGTAAATTTTGAAATCAGTTTCAAGAGCAATCAGACATAAGTCCCGAGATATAGGTCCCTATTTTAGAACGGGGAAAGGGAATTTCAGCAGTCGGAGAAGCGTAACGGTATCGGAGGAGATTTTATAAGGAAAGAAATACGACAAGTCAAATGTAAATAAATGTAACGAGATCTGCTTAGGGAAATAGTGATGAAATGTGAAAAAGCAAAGTTATCAGAAATTTGAAAAAGTTGAAAAATTAATATCATTAACCAAAGAAGAAAAATAATTCCTTAATGAGAAATGGCTAAAAAATCCAGTTTAATAACCCAAGAAGCTTTACAGATAATTTTTGTAGATCCAAATTAAAAATTATAATTAAGTTTCCAACTATGATTACCTGCCGTAGTTTTGTTTATTTCTCTTTTTCGAACACATAATTCATGTTCCCTGATGAGAAATTTTAGTGCTCTTTCACTTTGGCCAATATACGTCAAACCATACTGACATGATAAGCTAAAATTCTAAAAGAATTAAAATCAAATCTTTAACCTCTTCGTCGTCCGTACCGCGTATAGCGCGTTCAAGTGAAACTTCCGCAGGGCGGCCGTAATACGCCTCAAGCGTTCTTCTACATTTTAAAACTTTTAAACGTTTAAAACGCTTTCTAAATGTTTACTTGTTTGAGTTTTTATTTTTGTTTGTTCTAATACCTCCTAGAGGGTAGCACTAATCAGGCATTCTATTTCTAATTAAATTTGCCCCGGGTTTTATGAATATACGCGCCATTTTACATAAGATGCAAGACAATGAGAGATGGCTTCAACGTCTACTCAGCAGAGAAAGAGAAAAAAATGAGGTTGGGAATTGGAAAGACAAGAAGGGTATACGTTTGATGAGTACAGTCCATAATAACTCGATGATTGATGTTGGAGCACGGAAAAGAACTGTAAAAAAACCAATAATTGTAAAAGATTACAACACCAAAATGGGAGGAGTGGACCGCCTGGATCAGATGTTATCAAATCATCCTGCTGTTAGAAATAAGCAGAGATGTTATTATTTTTCCATTATGATTCATTTCCTTATAATTTTACATACTATTCATTGACATTCATCCACTACGAAAGTCATGTATGGAAAGTTATGTTGTACAGAGAAAACAACATTACACGCTACGAAAAACAGACGGCTGCTGGGGGGGGAAATTTTCGCGGACGGAAGAAAGGACGGCGAAAGGGTTAAAAGTTTGGTTGGTTTGGTTTATTAGATTACGGCAAAGCACTCGAGGGCTATCTGCCGTAAGGGAGGGATGCCTTCGTGGAGGACTTTTTAAGGGAAACTGGCTCAAAGGGTTAAAAGAATTTAAAAAAGAACTTTAATGACGGTTGCAGAAATGACCTGAAAATTAAATTTGTGGATACTGTTAGCAATTCTGCAACTGAAAGAGAGATGAAATGAGATGATGGTAAGATTGTTAGGTTGGTTTTTTACAGTCGAAGATCTTTTATAACGGCCAGAGAAACATTTTTGAAAGGCTTCATTACTTTCCGTGGCAGAGAAAATTTTATCTTAGCGGAAATTGATTTCAAATAATTATTTTCTCAGAAAGCAAGTATTCTGAAATGGAAGTTTTGGTAACACTATGTATGTAACAGTAAAAAAGAGATATTTTCTAGTTGCCAGAGGGACATTATTTTGCACAGACGAATAAACACAGTAAACGATTTACGGTAAACAATATCAGATCCAGACAAGAGTTATGATCAATATATGTAAATTCAGAAGTCGTATCGCCAATTTCCTTTACTTTAAAATGAAATCCTTCTAGCAAATGGTGCCCACATTTGGGAGATCAAAATATGCCTATGTGAACCTTAAGCCGATGTAATGAAATGTAATGATTCTGTGGCGTTGTGCAAATATGTTTCTAAGTAATGAATTATAAAACTTTCAATGAAATATAAGGCCAGCATTAACCATGATCAATTAAATGAAATACGAAACTTTTTTCTAAGAATAAAAAATACAGCGAATAGTATACAAGAAATTATTAGGGAATATTATGAAATACGATGTTAAACACGAAAGAATTTCAAATGATATTTATGAATATTTTACAGGAAACGAGTAGTTCTCATTTTACTTTACTGCTGTATCCGTTACGTTTTGTTATTAAAAGAAAAAAAGTCGTTAAAAAAATAAATCGCTTCATTTTGTAGCTACCAGCCTTCTAACAAACCGAAAATATATTAGTTGTAAAAATATAAAAATTGTATTTCATTGATATATTGCATTGCCATTTTACTGGCACATATTGGACAAATTGAAATATCGTTGAGATTTCTCGTTGGGGAAAACGAATCATATCTTTGAGAAGAGAAATAAAAAAATGTAGCTAATAACAGTTGGACACATAATCATAATTTTGACTAAAAACATTATCCTTAAAGCTTTTAAAGTTAGAAAACTGGATGTCTTTGAACTCTTTCACATTAGAAAAATGTGCTGATTATGTTAATTTCGCAGTGCTTTCAAAATTCTAATATCTTAGCGTTTTCGCGTTTCATTATTACTTTCCTCAATAGATCACGTTATTATTATTATTATTATTATTATTATTATTTTGTTTGTTTTCTCTAATTATTTCATGCAAAATCTTTTCTCTCTTCCGACACCTGAAATTTTATTTTCCCCGTCTGAAATAATCTGATTACTCTCAAAAGTCATTTCAAAATCTACTCCAAAATAAACTTACTTTTCGGTCCAGTTTTAAAATTTATAGTCTCTTCAGCATTAAATAAAGACAAAAATGCGGGACTTTCTATAAATCTTCTCTCTGTATACGCTGAAAACAACTTTTTGTCAAGTAAATATGCATAAATTTTATTAAAGCATTGTCGTATATTTTTTCTTTTCCTTCCTGCATTAATGTGTTGTCATCTAAACGTGTCGTCGGCTAAATGTATTGTCTGTTAAACATGTTGTCGTCTATATGTCCTATCACCTAACTGCTGCCAGCTACATGTACTATTGGCTAACTGTTGTAGTCTGAGTGTCATGGGCGCCATTTTTATTACATTGAATCGTGAGCATTATATGCACAAACATTATTTAAATTTTTGTATAGGAATAAACCAAAGCTGATGGTTAAGGTTACGTTTCATACAGCAAATCACACGAGGGATTTATATATAAATATATATATATATATATATATATATATATATATATATAGGTGTATACATATGTAACATAAAATAACTCATATTAATGTTACATATAGAATAACTACGAAATCCATCTATGCAGCCAGTCCGTTCACTTGATTCCAGATCGCATCGATTTGGAGGTAGAAAAGTTAAAATCTCATATTATGATAAATGTCTTATTTTTTCTTCTTTTTAGGCTTGAATTATGGTTTAATAAACAATAAAAATATATCTCTGATAAACTTGAACCTTTGATTGGTCAAATCCATTTTATAACTGCAAGAGAACGTTAGCTAGTCCATAAATATTGTTGTAACATTAGCTGGCAAATATTTTGAATACATAGCACACAATATGTGGTTTAAATACACGGTATAAAAATTTGATGATCTTTATGGAATTTTATTACAAAAGAGTCATAATGGTTTTATTTGCGGCATACGTACCCTTGCATGAAACTTTTATTGGTATTTTGAACAACTAAATACTCAAATTCAAGAAAAAATGCTCAATAAATAAATAAATAAAAACTTATATTCGCAAATTTAAAATTAATGAATACAAATAGATCTTTCCATTACACATACACCTCATAGCTTTTAACATGTCATCCGTTTAGTATGACAAATAAAAACGCACAATTAGTTTTCAATCGCTCAATCAATCATTATATACATATGTAGTACATGTGGAACTTTACCATGGGCAAGTAATTGCTTCCATTATTATTGACACCCACATTTTAATAACAAATAAAATATTTGCAAGATATATACATATAACATTAAAGACGTTTTATCATCTTACAGCAGCATCATACGTCTTATTTGCTTCTTGCAATTCTAAGTAGAGTTTGCTCTCTTTACGCGCAGATAACCGTTAAACTGGACTGGCGCGAGAGCAAAATACTTAGAGCATGGGGTTACATATTTTAAAACTTCACAAACATACACACACATACATGTATGTATATATACACTAATGTTTGTGAAAACTGCAACACCATGAAGGAATTATGCAAATTGAACTAAGCATATAGGAAATATGAAGTGAAGTAAGACATGCAAACTATTAGAATTACAAAGCATGCTGATACAATGATGCATCTTTGGAAGAAATGGACAGAGCGGAACCAAACAAGGCGAAATCCTGGCAGTGAGGCACGCAATAGCACAACGGCACGGAACGACAGACACCTCATCCGCATGGCTGTGACAGATCGTACAGCGTTCTCTTGTGTATTAGCACAGCGTTGGAGCACCGCTACAGGTGCTGTCTAGATCCACGATGTCTGCTGCAGCATGAACTGCGTGCAAAGGTTCTTTAACGCAGGATTACCCTGTCACTGAATCACAGACGCCACCGACTACACTGGGCACGACAAAACAGTGCGAGGCGTGGCCAATGAATCTCTCTACAATCTGGAGTAATCTGGATGGAAGAATATGCGTCGAACGTTACAGAGGGGAATAAATATCCAGCGTGTTATCCAGCGTCATACCGCACAAACGCCTGACATCACGGTATGGGGAGCTATTGGCTATAATTATCGATCCCATCTAGTGCAAATTGCGGGCAACCTCAACGGTGATCGCTACATAAACAATCGAGAAGGAATACATAAAGAATCGAATGAGGATAGAGAGGTCCTCCCCCATTTTTAGACGCATCTCCGGCGCTGTATTTCAGCAGAATAATGCTCGTCCCCATGTTTCTAAGATTGAACAAGCTTTCTTTAGGGCGCAACAGGTTTCGCTTCTTTCATGGTCTGCATATTCACCGGATATGTCGCCCATTCAGCATGTCTGGTATTTCATCGGTCGGCGACTCTTTCTATGGGGCACACACTAAGTCTGAACTTCAGCATAAAGTCTAAGCCATATGGATATGGAATGCCATTCTAAAGGATTATATTCAGAATTTGTATGATTCAATGCCACAACGTGTACAAGCTCTCATCGCTCAGTGTTACGGACACACGAAGTACTGATTTTGATATATACATATTTTTTTGTCTTGTAAATTTAATAGTTTCAGAGATATAGTAAAGAAAGAAAGAAGACGATATTACATGTCTGTAGTTGATTGGTCTACAAAATTTAATCTTTTTATTAATTTATTTCTTTAGGCCTCATCAAATTAAAATTCTTTGTGTGATAAGGCGTACTTTTGGGCGAGGTGGTGAGTGTCATACAGCAATATATATTGCATGAATAGTGTGATTTGTAGCATGGGTATGTTTAGCCAACACAGAATAAAGTGAGACAAATTATCAATGTTCTTGTAACCGTGATGCAATCGAGCAAAATGTAGCACGAATTCGGCAGCATAATGTATACCAAATTCCAAAAAATGCATAGCATGGGAATCATTGATGATGGAATGCCTCCTATTATTTCATTTACACATTGCATTAGCCAGTCTAAAGCTGTAAATATTGGATGCGCGCCATTTTTTGCGTTGTATTTCGGAGTTTGTGGGTTGATTGTTACATGACATACTTTACGTCTTTTCGCCAATGAAAAGTTTCATGCCGATTCCCGTCAAGCTTTCCTTGTGAGCAGTCAAACTTTTACTTTCACAGGTACTTGACTCTATACTAATGAAGTAAGGATAAAAAATTAATTGGTGTTGCGTATTCTGAAAGGAGTATTCTGCCTTAGTTTATTTTTAAACTTTAGTGTTACCAGTACATGACTTATTTCCACTGTAGACTAGAACAAATGAGAAAATTCTGGCGATAGTTTGTTTTGCAAAACCAGTCATCTATCTAATTTGTCATACAGCCGAGAGATTAAGATTTCAGAAATCAATGTCTTTAATGTACATTTCAGTAACTTTAATTGAAAAGTAAATAACATTAACTACGAGTACAGTAAAGAAATTCAAATTATTAGATGAGTTTTGTATGCAAAAATGAATAGCTAAATGTTATATTAATTATTTACTAATTACAAACATTCTGAATAGCAAAGTCAAGAATAAAAATATATGTTAACAGCACTCACCCAATAAAAAAGAATGTTTCAACAGCATAAGTCCCATTTATTATTGCTTGGAAAGCGAAACTTTTTCCATAATCTTCAATTTTAGTCAAACCATCTGAAAGGGATGCAAAATGATGTAATTTCAGAAACATCACTTTCACAAGATTTTATTAAATGAATATGTAATTTTGAAAAATATTATAGTGATGATCATTTCTTATGTTCTTATTGCAATTAGGGAGTTATACAAATGTTTTATTCTCCTGAAGATATTGGTATAATTTTTATAAAATAAAATTCTAACATTTTAAAAAAAAAGCTCTATTTTGAGAACTGAATTCAACTTTACTATTCACAAAAGTGCTAATTGGTTTCTCAATCCTAGCTACATATAGATAATTACTCATATCTCACATGATTGTCAATTTCATAAATAAAGTAATTCTGTGTTTTAACTAATAGAACTCATTGAAAAATTCATTTATTCTGTAAAGCAATCACATCAGTTTAAAATCTTAATTTATTTGAGTTCTGGTTTGTCTGAGTAAAATGTTTGATATTTTACTTAATGATATATCGAAATAAACTAAAATTATTCATAATCGGATGCTTAAAACAAAAATTACATTAATTAAATTTAATTTACGAAAGCGTTTTTATTAGTTACATAGATGATAGGTACTAACCTACTGAACATGATACATGATAGGTACTAACCTACTGAAGGAAAATATAGAAGGAAATAAGTGTGCGTTAACAGAATCCACGCTATAGTGAGGAATCGAATTCCATGTAAGGAGCCTAAAACTCCAGAGTTGTTGTCTGTCTGCAGCAATTTTTTTACGTTTCGATGATAGGAAAAGGCCATCAGAACTTGAGCTCCTCGATCTAGAAATATAAGTAGAAAAATCAGCTTTTAACATTGCGAGAATTAGCACTAGAAATAAGTTCTGAGATTTTCTAATTGTATCATTTTTCTAATGTTCTCTAGCTGAGTTGATTCATATCTTTATTATTCACGCCATTTTTATTATGATTTTTTTTATCTGAAATGTTTCAGATTTTAAATGACGTCCAAAAACCTGTTTTTTTTACCGTTTCGTGTGTTACATTTATTTATTTATTATCATGCTCTTTGCACTTAAACCATAAAATTCAATTCAACAGCAATGCCACAAAATAATTTTAAAATGAGCCTGTCTTTAGAATTTCCCATACACAGTTCCGCGCGCTGGAGATAAAAAGGTTCTTTTCCCTCCCGTAGAGTGTTGCCATTGCTCGCTTTTAAATCGTTGAGTTTGTTAATGAAAAATTCGTTAAAGTTTTACAAAATATGAAACTGATCATAAAACAAATTCCAAATTTCAAATTTAGTCTTCCAGATGCCCATATTCGCAATAGAATTACGTCATTGGATGGCTCTAGGTACCGTTGTTTTACCACAATGCAAGAAACATACATACATTTATGCAGATATTTCATTATTTAATTTAATGAAATATAATATAAGGGCGATAGTATTTGGTGGCAACATTTTGAAAAGCGAAACGGACAATCAGAGTGATTCAACGCAAAATCGCAAAACGAAAACAATAGTCCTTCGGGGATAAAGCCCCTTTGGACTAAAAATTGAAAGCTTTGAAGTGTTATATTACGTCCAAAGGGGCATGACAGTCTTGCAGGCTGGAAATAAAAATGTTTTTTCCCCAAAGTGTTGCCATTGCTCTTTTTGAAATCATTCAGTTTTTAATCAAAATTCGTTAAACGTTTACAAAATAGAAAATACACAATAAAAAATTCGAAATTAAAAAATCGGGGTTCATTTGTCCATATCCAGGTGGAGGAATCTATTTTGGAATGGTTCTAGGGACCGTTGGTTTTCCACAATAAGAAAAACATGCGTACATTCATGCAAATTCTTCATTATTTAATTTCTTTAAATATAATGCAGAATGATAATATTTGGTGGCAACAATTTGAAATGTGATTCAGACTTTTATAGTGAATCAACGCAAAATCCCGTTTTGAGAATAACAGCCCTTCTGGACTAACATTTCTGAAAGGTTTCAGGTTTTAACTGTAGCGCAAAAGGGATTGTTAAAATATTTTATGGTTTCGCTGAGCTCGTAGTCTACCAATCTGCTGTTACACTCACTCTTACTAACCCTTTTTAAGGTGGGATGGGAGACTTTTTAGCTTTATTATTAAGCATAATTTTCTTCGCACTCATGCCATATGCAATTCAACACCAAAATTACAAAATTTTAAAAGCAGCTTATCATTCTACGTTTAGAATTTCCGATCGCGCGCTAAGATTTGGCAGACATTTTTATAGGCTTTTCTGAGTTTACCACACCAATGATCAGTTCTCTTACTAAGATGGTTTATAAAACGTTTTTTTCTTTTTATTATTAACGTTCTGTGTTTACTTTATTTATTAAAAATCAAGGGTAATGTGGCTTATGCCATGCAAAATTCTATTCAACAGCAGAATCACAAAATATTTAAAACAGTATACTTTTTGGATTTCCGGTAGACAGACTCGCCCACTGGAGATAAAAATGTTTTTTCCCGGACAGTGTTGCCATTGCTCTCTTTGAAATGTTGAGTTTGTTAATCGAAAATTCGTTAAAGTTTTGCAAACTATGAAACTGGTAGTAAAACAAATTCGAAATTTCAAATCCGGGTGCCCTTGTTCGGGTAGAGGACTACGTTATTCAAAATTTGATGGCTGTATGTACCGTTGTATTCTCACAATGCAAGAAACATGCAGACATTCATGTAGCAACGGTTGTTTTCCTTAAGTATAACTGATCGATTAAGACTGCAGCAGAAGGATTCTTCAAACATAACGTATTAAATTACATCAAAAACTCCTAATTAAAGAAAATTATTTTTTCTATTATTTCATAATTTCTCGAATGTCTTTTTCAGGGTAAATAACATATGTTTTAAGAATGTTATCTGTTAGGTTACCGGCGGCTAAGTCTGCCATTTTAGACAACAAGTGAAAACGCTTCATATCGCCCAACTGTAAATCTTGCAACAGCTGCTTGATTTTAACTGTCTCGGATTCTTCATAAACAGAAATTAATTTTTGCTTAAAGATTTGTATTTGTCCGTCGCCGGTGGACTCAAAATTATTTCACGAGCTGATTGCAGTACCTCTGATTCGAACGCGGCGATCGCTGTATAAAACTGAGTTTTGTCGGCAGTAATGTGACTCAATTTAAACTGTGCATGCAGTTGAATGAACCATAACGATGGGTCTCGGCGACAAAAAGGTGGTGGCTTAACTTCCACTCAGCGCCAATTGTAAACAGCATCGTTGTCAATCGTTTTAGATCAATCAAATATGCACAACGCAGAAAAATAATCAATATGTATATAGTGACACAGTTTCTTGGTACTTTAAATCAGAAAAATTGGCAGCTCAAATTCAGCATACATATATTCTCTAAAATTATGACAGAAATATTTTGACTCACCGGAATGCGGCACAACGCTTGAAATCACAAGTGAAATGTCTTACTTGCATCTCATCGCACTGGATAACTTATTGTTGCTCAGAATTTTGACACACAAACTCCCTATTTGTGCAACATTGCAGGTTGCTATTCGTAATAAATCCGGGTCACCAACTATGGTGGTACAACCTTTTGAGACAGATAATTACACACTGCTTTTAATATAATAATTTAATTTGTATAATAAGCTGTTTTGAACAATAATAAATAAAGCGTAGCTGGACAAGCAACAAATCGTTAATCATATCAATCTTCTTCGAATCTATATTAACAGTAGAATAAACATTATTTTGTTTTTCGTTGCTATGAGTTGCCAGACTAGCAGTGTTGAGTTGTAGTAGGCAGTTCACCTCAATACAATAGAAAAATACTCACGAGTAAAAATCACTTTCATCTTAGAAGAATAAGCATCCATAAATGTGCCAACGAACACAAGACTTCCGAAAATGACGCAAATAACTCTGAAATAAAAAGTATTAAAATAACTATTACAGAATTAAAAATGTATGTTAAAAATTTATTTAAAATGTGATGATAATATAAATCTATAAACAATACCATCTATGCATGTTAAATTTTATTAAATCAAAAAATAATTCTTTACGGTTTGTGAGAAATGCTCTTACATGTAAAAGGTTTATATCGTAAGTTGCAAATAAATCAATGTATATAATGTATAAAAGAAATTACCTGAATAGCACTGGGAAACAATGAAGATGGTAAAATATATGCTCCTTTTCCTGATCTCCAACGTTTCTACAAATCTTGTGCCGAAGACGTTAACGGAGAAGTTTTTACTTTTAAATCCATATTTTCTACCTTTCTTAATAAGAATACGTTGACAAGTGATTTAAAGTACTTTCTGAGCTAATCCCATTAGATTTGTCTTCTTCCCGTTGTTTTGCCCATGTATTTCACGGAAGAATGGTTGGCAGAGCCTCAAGGAGGTTGGACTTCTACTTTCAGCCCAATTTTGAAAGACAACATCCCGAAGAGCGGTTCGAAGGTCTCCCACTCTACTTCCCTTCCACTAAACCACACGAAAGGACATCCGGCTCGCCATATATTAGAGTGCCCCCATGACTCAAAGACATTTACAGACATCCATGCCTTCTCTAGGATTCTAATTTGGGCTCTTTGGTACCGCAGTAGGCTCCATTAACCACTATACCACTCGGGCGGCAACACATACCTATACCTCATATACCTATTAGTAAATGTTCCAGGCGTTAGATAACACTTTGGGCAACCTGTATTGAAATACACATTTTTTTTTAATTCTGTGCTTAGAACCGCCCAAATTGTATAGCGGTTAAAGGAGCCTACTGCGATATCGAAGGGCCCAGGTTTGAATACAGGAAAAGGCATGGCTGTAATGTCCGCCGCATCCATAGGAGGAAACGGTGACGCACCTATTAAATGCTTTCACCATTTCTGGCTTTAGTTCTGGCTAAGCCCATGTCGGCTAAATGGCCACCAATGGGAAAACAATTTCAGTTCTCGAAATGCGGTTAAGTAACGAAGGTGTAAAATTTAGACTAATAATTCCTACTGTTAAATAATTTGTTAATAATGTAAATAAAGAGCAGATATTTGTGAAGCAAGATCACTTACATAGGGCGATTCGCTACCAGACCGACAAACTTGCAGAGTGTGTAGGGGGTACAGAGACTACTCGGAACCACATAGGAATTCAGGGTCACAAATGCCGTAGTTGCGATTTATGGTGCAGAGGATCAGAGGAAAAGAACAGAAACATCAGCACATTAATGGGACAGAAAATTTATTGAAAGGTTATACTACAACAGGTGGTCGACAATACTACCAGAAGTCTTCTGGCAGTCTTGAAGACAGCGCTGCATGGAATTCCTTACATTCTGATAGATTCCGGACATGCCACATATCCTCCCGGCAGCTACAGATATTCGAGCGATGAGGTCTTCAACTGAAGGAACGGGCGTCTCGTACACCAAACACTTTATGTGACCCCAGAGGAAGAAGTCCATCCATTATAGATCCGGTGTAGGTCCATGTGTTACCAGCGTGAAGGCGCTTCTTTTTATTATACGATTAACATTCGCCGACACCTCGACATATCCTATGGACAGCGGTGGATAGGTCGTGGTGGCCCGGTTCATTGGCTTGCCGGATCAACGGACCTATCATGCACGGTCTACATGAAGAGTTTGGTGTACAAGATGCCTGTTCCTTCAGTTGAAGACTTCGTTGCTAGAATATCTGTAGCTTCCAGGAGGATACCTGACATGCTAGGAATCTTGTCGAAAGTACGGAATTCCACGCAGTGCTGCTCTCAGGTCTGTCAGACGATTTCTGGTCGTAATTTCGAACACATGTTGTAGCATAAGCTTTCAATAAAATGTTTTCCGTCCCATTAATGTGTTGCTGTTTCTATTCTTTTTCTCTGATTCTTTGCATCATAGCTGGCAACTACGGCATTTTGCGACCCTGCATTCCCATGTGATTCCGAGTTGTCTCTGTAGCCTCTATACACCCGGAAAGTTTGTCGGTCTGGTAGCGAATCACCCTGTATATAGAATAAATAGATCAAAAGAACCTTTCTAAGAAAAAGTCCAAAATCATCGTTACAACAAGAAGATTCCAGAAGTATGCATCACTGACATGTTATGTCGTTCTGAACCTTTAATTTTTATTAAAGCTGTAGAGTCATATTTATTTCGGAACCGGAAACAAAAAATCAGAATTACTTTCTTCCAATTCGAATTCAGTACATCAATATAAGTTTACATAATTATGTTTGAATTAGTTTTAAATTCATATCTGACATTTTATAATATGTTACTTAAGTTACTTAATTAAAACAGTAGAGGCAAAAGAAAACTTACATTGAGATAATTTCTGCTTTGTTTAACTTCAACTTTTCTTTCATTTGGCATCTTGAAACGGATGTATCAAAGTAGATAAAATCGCTTACTGAAAAAATATAAAAAATAACAAATATTACAAGAGCTATGTTTGAATCTCCACTTTAACTGGAATTATGTAATTATTGTTTTCTTGATATTTTAATGTATAGGGGATTTTTAATATAATTTTAAGATGTTTGAAATTAAACGAAACATAATAAGTATATTTAAATATCGTGATAACGGGAAAAAGAGAATACAATAATACAGACACTCATAGTTTTTAGTCTGAAATTATTTATCTGTTTGGATATGTCGATATTAGTGTTTCGATTTGTATTTGATTTGGGTTCGATTTGCGTTTCGATATTTGTCAAAAGCACTAATTATCAAATGTATTCGATAATAAAATAGTAAAAGAATAATGGTTATTTTTTTTAAAGATGAAGTAACGTTAAAAATGTTTGTAGTCTAAATAATATCAGTTTAAAATATTATTTTTTAGATAGTAAGAATATTACCCGTGATATTTGTATCTATTATACAGTTAGTTTGAAACATACAGCTGTTTCTTACTATACAATTTTTTTCTTATTTAACAGTGTGAATAACGTCAAATAATAAACTTTTTAAAATTATTTTTAAGAAAAACTGAAACTCTGGGTATATTAAAATTTGCGGGAGAATAAATTAAAAGACAAAAACTAACTCTCCCCAACACTATGACCTATTACGCTTTCCTCTTTTCCACGGGTTATCTTTCTATTGTTTGGAAAGGCAATTTAAAATATTTTTAGGAGTTTTGTGCATAGTTACATGATTTTAGTGAAATTATATGAGAAACTGTTAGAGTTTTCTTCTTACATTACACAGAAAAGTGCAAAAATTTCACATATAAAAGAACTGAGTACGGGTTCACAATAGAAATTCACACAGGTCCGATGACAGATTGATAAAATTTATTTTATTAAAAGAAACTTTTCAGAGTTCTTGAATTTTCCACAGAAACACTCATATAGGTGTTCACAGTATCACATAGTATTATCAGTAGTTACATTTCAAACTACTATGAAAGTTAAACACAACGTAACGCAAAGCGCATCTAAAGAGAAAGCTAACCTGGAGATATCTCAGTACTCCCAACTCACGCTGAACTAAAAATTAACAACAGCACTTGAGAGCAGATGCTCTCTCCGGCCTTATATAGTTTTCACCTAGCCGCTGAGATATTTCTAGTATCTCCCGCTTCTCCAGATTATTAGAAGGCAATATGAGCGTTGAATTACGGTTACAGTTAATACAGTGATCAGTTACATTTATTCAGTTACAATACCTATTTTGGTAATACAGGAACCGAATTGTAATAACGGACCAAAATATTGCCAAATGTTGGCCAAGTTTGGCGAATTTTGCGGTTTCTCGCCAAAACCGTTGCCATCTTGGCGATATCTCGCCAAATTATCGAGATACCCATTTACTGAATGTTAAGTAGATTTTTCCCCTACATGCTTGTGGGCTTACTTTTCCAGCATAGCTTCTTTCTCTCAACTTTTAATGCTACATTAAACAGAAAAATATAACAGCTTCACATATAATTTCACAAAAATCATGTATCTATGTATAAAATTCCTAACAATATTTCTAAAAATCTGACAGATGTTAATTAATGAAGATTGTATTATCTTTCTTGCATATTTAGAAAGTAATATTCCTTTCTCTCAACTTAATGCATCTGCATAACTACAGAAATTCAGAAACAAAAACGTAACTCGAGACATTTTAAAACTTGTTCAACTGATACATTTTCTACAAAGAAAAAAAAAGATAAACTTATTACCTAGTTTTGTAAGTTTCTCAATATCTTCTACTTCACATCCAGAGGGAACACAAATACCGAGTTGCATTGGAAATACTTTGAAAATCGTAGCATGTTTTGCAAATTCACTGATAATCTGCAACAATAAATTTTTAAGTACACCTTTCAACAATAAAATTCACGAGATTTATACATCAAGTATATAAAGAAAACTTCAGGAAAAAATTACAGAAACATAGACAAAATTATAAAATGGACAAAAGAAATGGCAAAAGCAATTGTACTTGTTTAAACATCTATAAGAGCAAAAGGAATTTCAGTCAGCACGGGCTGTACGAATTCATAAATGTGATTATAAAAAGTGAAAGGAATGTAAAAAATGCTTCAATTATACTAAGGGCACTAATCTATTATATTTACTACACACACATATACATAAGCATAATCTGCAGGATCCAATATTTGTTTTCTGGTTTCTTTTAGAAGAATCTTCTTCTTACAAATTTCTGAGCTACTAACTATACTTTACCTGAATATAGGCACGCCTTAATTTCTGGCGCATGAAAAGTGCACTTTATAGGAGTATCTTATAATCTAGCAAACTAATGGTACTTTTCCGTTTTGCCGGTGCAGGCGATAAAGTCGCTAATAATGGTACAACTGGTGCCAAACGCAATATCCTCGCTGGTAACCTTTTACGCCTCATTTTCAAAACAAGTCGCCGCCATTTCTTATCAGAGTGATTCTCTCGTTCAATATTGGCATACAATTACATAGAATTTTTACAAGATAGTTAAATTTTATGCCCTAAGGCCATTTGCGGTAATTAAGTGAATTAGGATGTAATCACACTGCTAACTCGAAGGCGAAAATATACTCGTAGATAAACACAAATTCAAGGGTTAAATTCATCCATTCTAACGAGAATGGACTAACGAAGTAAAGCACTGCGGTTTTCGTAATTTCTGAGTAAGCTGTTCGTACGAATTGAAATAATTCTTTCATTTAAACCTGTATTCCAAATTAAGCTTTAACTTGAAATTAATGTAGATAATTACTAAGAGAATCAGATTTTTGTAGCGTAATTTACCTGAGATGAGATCGCTTGGGGCCACGTGATACGAACCGTCGAATCAGGATTTTGAACCATGATAGCATAATAAATTCTTAAATTAATGTTTTTTACAAATTTATTGTCTTTATTTATTTGCTTTTTACAAAATTATAAACGATATTAAAATGTTTATTCCTTCAAAATAAAAAATTCTTAGAACTAACATTTGTTAATGTTTTTTATGTGCATACGTATGTCGTCGCCAATAAAGTCTGCTTGGCGAGATTTGCGCTGGCGAAACGGAAAAGTACCAAACTAATTCCTACTGCAACAAACAGAGGAATCTTTAACAAAAATATTTCATTCACACCTAAGATATATCGTTTGCTTTCAATCTTATAAATGTGTCCAAAAAATAAATTTCTTTGTACATTGTTTAAATTACTTTTCTCCCAAACGGGCGCCTGAAATTTTAACTCAATCTTATTATGTCCACAAGGATTAATAAATGTAGCATGTTACATAATAAGCACATTAAATTGCCTTCAATAACGACATGCTTACAGCAGTCATTCTATGATGCTTGAAAACTTAAATTTATCTAACAAAATTAGTAAAATGAAGACTTTACGTCCTTCTGAAGGAAAATTTAGAAGATTAAAAAATTGAGATCAAGTTATTGTTGAAAATCAATATTGCCTGTTGCAAAGTATCCTAATGGAAGCAAGATTTAAGAAATAAAACTTTTGAGAATTTCATACCTCACATCACTTGTAGATATTTACTTTTATGACAGTACAAGTAGAAGAGAGATGAATAGTCAGACATCAGCTTGCTCAATTTTATATTTTCTTCGCATTATTTTCTTGACTGAATACCTACCGACGTAGTCATATGCGGCTGTTTTGCAAGGTTCCAGTCTTCGAAACCAGACCCAGGATAACTCCTTTAATTGTTCATTCATTACACTTTTTGAATTCAGACGTCTTTCGGCAGATGCATAGTAGTTTTACAAATGGATGCATAAACATTAATTAACTATGCAGGATGTTTTCAGCAACTGATAATAAAATAAACTGTCTTAATTTGATAACCGTGTTTAACCTTGATAACCATAATATGTGATAACCTTGATAACCGTGAATAAACATGGATATTGTTTATTGTGTAACCTTGAAAACCGTGAATAAACATGGATATTGTTTATTGTGTAACCTTGAAAACCGTGATAACTGTAATATCCATGATAACCTTGATAACGGTGAATAAACCTTGATAATCGTGTTTATTACGCAATTACAAATCTCTAGTAAATATGACATCGACTGTATGCTGATTCTCTATGATATACGCGAAATTTCGCTGCTCAACGAATTACGTAGATCAAGCAATAAAAAAAAATAAAGCTAAGTCCCTTTATATGTCTGATATATGCTATATGCATGATACGTACACACACATACACTATATATGTGAGAAAATAAAAAATATGTAAAAGATTAAATTAGCAACGTGAATTTCCGTTCTCAATTCTAAAAATAGAAACCCCTCTCTGCACTGCGACATTTCGAGACCATTCTATGTCATATGATTCTTAGGTAATTATGATGATGTAAATGGAACTAAAACTCAACCAACCAATAGTAATTTTAGAGCAATATTAACTGTCCAATCAGAATGTATTGAGAACCAAAACTAACTCAGTCTTAATAAGATTTCACCCTGAAAAAATGCTCTTACCATGCTTTGGCCTAGCTAGACTGCTCTCTGTCTGCTGTTGCTTTCTTGCTACAAAGTTATCAGAAATGTAAGTCTTTTAGATTAGGCACATTTAATGTGCCGACTTGTGTGTAGCCGTAACATGTTCAAAATAAAACTGAAGATTTAATCTGCCTTCGCCTCCAATTTCCTAGTCATTATGGATCAACAATTCTACGCCATCTAAATTCCTGCTCCTGAACATATATATATATATATATATATATATATATGTTCAGGAGCAGGAATATATATGTATATATATATATATAATAGCACCAATATATCTGCCAATTTTTCCAGCAGCTTTAATTACACCATAGCAGCGAAACAAATTTACAGAGATGCAAATCAAATTTGTAAAAAAATGTCCGTAATGATGGTATTTTCTGCGTCTGCCATGGTTATAAAGCTCCATTTTCACACTGGGGTTTATCTAAGCTAACGGAGTCAGTTCCATGTGTCAACTAGCTTCGATATACGTGCAGTGCAGGATTTTCAGCTAGCTCCACTATGAAGAAAAATTGGTTTTGGAGCTGCGTTGGCTATGCCAGATGTGTCGGTTAGCTAAGATAAAAAGCAGTGTGAACGGCCTTTAATAGGTGACGGAGAATCAGAGTTCGGTTCTGGAGAAGGTACCCGAAAACCGGCTACCACAGCCAAGGAAGGCAGGAGGCGCGCAAGTTGCCCATTTCCAGAAAGTGAAGGGGACGAAAATAACTACCGTATTTGACGGCATATAAGACGCACTTTGTTTCCTAAATTTGGTCTCAAAGTTACCTGCGTCTTATACGGGAAGGATACGGGTTAACGTTCAATACTGAATGCTATTTTTAGCCCGGATAAAGGTCTAGACATACATAACTTTTTCTACGTCTGCCATAATTATTTTGCGTATGCGTGAAATATCTGTCGCCAAAAAGCGCCAAAGCTCGAAGCTGATGTCGAAGTTCGAACAGGTTCGACAGTCACATTACGTCTATGGAGCCTTTCCTTCTTTACATAGACTTTTCCTTGAATCTGTGTTTTTTATTGTTTCTGCTTTATTTTTTATTATGTTTGATTGTTTGCAGTTCATTCATTTATTCATTATTGAAATTTACATAGCATGTTCAAAATAGCTTGCCGTTTGTTAATTTTCCTTAATAAAAATATGTTTGGTAATTGCATTCAATGATTGTTTATTTTGCTTTTACGAAACGTGAGAACTAAAAGAACCGCATTTTATGTTATTGTGGTACCGCGCTGTCGCGCGTACTATTGAAACTTTTTTTCCTTATGTGTGGCCTTCTAAATAAGGGTGCGTCTTATATGCCAGTGCGTCTTATATGCCGTCAAATACGGTATATGGGACTCTTTTGAGATCCGTAATTGTAATGAGTACACTCTAAATAATTTAACGAGATCAAATGGACAGCAAGTCTGGTGCCAGCAGCAGCCGTGGCTCCAGACTTGCTATTCATCCCGTATATTAAATTGTTGTTTGCTGTTAAAAAGCTAATAGTTGGATCTCAGTTCCAAACAGGTGGTCCGCGTACCGGTGGTTATTGCCTCTTTTGAACAGCCAGCCGGGTTCTTTTCATGATCTTCACCGGTTATTTTGGACTTTGAACAAAATTAGAGTGCTCAAAGCAGGCTTGACGCCTGTATAATAATATACAGAATAATGGAATAGGATCTGAGTTCAGATTTGTTTTGTTGATTTTCGAAATACGAGGTAATGATTAAAAGGGACAGACGGGGGTATTCATATTGCGACGATAGAAGGGGAATTCTGGGAAGCCGGAATTCTGGAAGTCATTTTACAATTTAATTCTCGATGTTATAAGTTTGACACTTAACTAGGGATACCCATCACTTATAAATCTATCTAACCAAGTCAATGTAAGCACATATATGTATAGTTTCATTGCAGAAAACCTTGTCATGAAGCACATATGTCGCCTGAGTATGGTATTATTCAGATTTAAAAAGATGTATTGTTTTTGAAAATAAAGATGAAAATTTCTTATTTAACATCATTCTTTAAGACGAAAGCTTTTATGCGATTACAGTAGTTAAGGATAATCATTATGTATTAAATTAATTGTTCGATATGAATCACAAAATCATAATGATTCTAAGTTCGCATAGCATATATGTATAGCATTTCTCATAGCATAGATATGGATAGGCATAGGGAGAAGAAATTTGGAATATATGTTTTCCGAACGACGAAAGTCTGCACTTCAAAGCTTCTCCCTGCCCTCTAATTTCGATTTAGATGTTTTTTAACAATATAGCAAATTTTTTTTACTAACTTTCTGCTCTTTTCTGTGCTTATGAATTAACTAAAAATCTATTTCACTGTTTGCACCATCGGATATAGCAGGAAAAAAAATCTTTTAAATGAAATTCATACTGACATTTTTATCAAAATTTACTTATTTTTGAAATTTCCTCTTTCCGCCCCCAAGCGTTCTCACGTGTATTATTTCGAAATTCCAACATCCAGAAATCTGTCTGTTATAAAGGTTGAAATTTTCATAGGTTGTAAAAGAAACTCTTTGACATCTTTTAAAAGAAGAAACAAAAAATATTAATTAAGCGATTTTCTAGAATTTGTTTAAGAATATTTCAATGAGATTTTAAGTAAAAAGGTTTCAGTGTGATTTTATGGGAAAGTTCTCAGATTTCGCTGGCCATTGCATGATATTCCTTCGAGCAGAGTTCCGAAGTTATGATACCATCATACATCACAATGATTTTGTTTCCTTCCATCTAGTTTTCTCTAATATTGACTTAACTTGTTTGTTAATTTTTTCCTTTGCTAGTAAGAAAGTTTATAACGAAATTAAGCTTGTCGTAGACGTCTTCTGTTAGAAGTTTTCCTATTTGATACATTTATATAGTATAATTTTCTTAATATTTCGTTTCTTAAAAGTTAATTTCCTTACTTTTTTGATGATACATTAGGTTATTTCGGAGCAGAAGAGATGAAAAATGAGCAGTGCCCTCGCCGGGACTCGAACCACGGACCTCTCAAATACGTGTCGAGTGTGCTGACAACTACACTACGAAGCCATGCTAAGAAGGGGAGAGAAATACCTTATATTCTTCCACTTTTAAAGGGCGACTTAGGATTAGGGGACACACTCCTGGTCGTAAAGAATCATCATCCACCAACGTTTTTAGTTCGGGCGCCACTGCAGAGACATTAGGTTATTTCGAAGCAGAAGAGATGAAAAATGAGCAATGCTCTCTCCGGAACTTGAATGAACCACAGACCTCTGGAATACGCGTCGAGTGTGCTGACTACTCTACCATGAAGGCATGCTAAGGTGGCGGGAGAAATACCTTATAAAATAATATTATGTTCTTTTTTGGAACTTTTAGAATACAAACATCCAAAAATTTATCTGTAATAAAGTTTTAAAATTTTCATAGGGTATGAAAGAAACTCTTCGCCATTTTTTAAAGTAAGACTGATTAAATGATACAAACAATTTTCTACAATATGATTTTTTGATTTTTAACTTTATAAGACTTTCAATTTCTTTGACCTTGCTTTGATGATTTCAAACTGATCCGCTACTACAGTCATCAATATATGTGAATAATTGTGATATTTGATGATTTGATCACTTTGCTGTAAGAAGATTCTTACGCAGTGTTTAAATTCGATCTCCAATTGAACATGAACATTTCTTTAAAATTCTGAACAAATGAAACGAGGGAGTTAAATTGCAACCGAAATTGCAAGTTCTTGCATTGATTTTTGAATACAAAGTGTACGGCAATTCTGGTATAATTTAAAGAGATATTTAGTACTTACCGTTCCCTTTTGCGAAATGTTCCTTAACATGTATGGGATTTCTCCTAATTTGAAGTTTCCATTACTGGAAGGCAAAGGTGGTCTGAATTTGATGCTACAATATTGACCACTCATGAGAACAACTCCGTGGTTATTCTTCACCGTAGTGTCTACACACTCGTCGTATGACCCAAAGTTAGTTAGAGTTCCAATCAGCATCCCATCGATTATTTTTCCACTGGAATCCAGAACTAGATAAGAAATGTGCTTTAGTTTTTGCAAGAAGTATAGTAAAACAGCATGTCGAAAACATGACTTTAGAAATTATGTGACTAGAAGAAGATTTAGAAATAATTGTTATGTAAACAATCCATTGCTGAATGAGAAATACTTCCGGAATTATAATCAATTTAAATTAGCATTCAAATTGCAGTAAAATTTCATCCAAGTCTACACATCCCCTCAGATTTAAACCTTAAAGTCTAATGTAACTAATAATTGTCAATTCCGTACGATACGAAGAGTTCATTAAACACCAGGAATATTTTGGATTATAGTTACATACGTTAAAAATATGATACGTCAGTATTAAGTGAAACTAGGAAACAAAACTTAATAAGGCACTAATATACCTCAGATTTTAAATTATAGGTATCAGCTTACTTTCTATTTAACTGCAGTTCAAAAAATTCCATTTAACCCAATCCAAGCCTTTCTCGATAAAGAACTGAAGATTAGTCAGTAGAACAGATGTGACAAAAGGAACAATACGTAAAGCTGAAACATCAACAGTAGCTGGGGTATTGAAATATGAACACAAGATATTAGATATTTACTGGTCAGTAAGCTGGATTCAAGTTTAACAACTGTAATTTTGCAGAGCTAACGTACTGTCAGGGCTCTTCCGAAGGAAAATTTAATAGAATTCTTAAATGAGGACTGAAAAGTCCTTAGACTGTCAGGACTTGTGTTTTTCTTGATTTGCGTTGGAAACATGAATGGTCCTGAATAGGAAGAGGGAGCTTACTCAAGCTATGTTCAAGAAGGTGTGAAGTAGACAACACAAGCATGAAGGGTATACGAAACCCTTTATTTTCAATCTTTTACAAGATCTTCCGAGTTTCGGAATACAGAGACCAACCACTTGTGGTCTGAACGTAATAATATAAAAAAATACTAACTAAAACTCTAACTAAAACTAACTTTGGATTAATATACAAGTGCCTAGCTTTAAGATTGGCCGTTATTTAACAAAATCTATACGTAATACAGAGAGATGCTAAAACTACGATACGTTTGAACTTATCAAGAGGACTAAACCTCTGGCCTTAAAGGCAACCAGCAACAAAGTGAAAATTCGTAAAACTACAGTGGCAAGCGACTTGCTTCCTATAACTCCTTCTCTCTTCTCTTGGCAAAAAGCCACAACTTAAGTACTTGGGCGTTAGCAAGACAATTTGCACAAACAAGTTAAAGCATCTAATTTTGGCCGGAAGTAGAAAATAAGAAGTGATAGTACAGTTTTAAAATAAAATAAACGTTAGTAAAACTTAGGATCCTTACAAGACGAGCCTACAAGCCTATGAATAATAACCTAAGCTTCTTTCAGCAGAAGATTATTTGCCGAATGGTACTATTCTTTAGAAATTCTTAAAGCTGTTCTTCTTTATAAAAGTTAAAATTTTATCTGCAATATTTTAACATGGCAAAATCGAAGGAAAACAACAGTGAAATCGGTTTTTGATTTGAGGAGAACAGCTGCAAGGTGAAGAGCAAAAACGAAACGGTGGAATTTTTTATACTTTGAGAATGTCTTTTAGACATTTCCAAAAATATACTAACTATTCTTAGATGAAAATAAAATATTTCCCGATTTTTCGCTGAGAAATTACTGATACTCAGTACTGGTTTTAGTTATTGACAAGCCACATGTAACTTCATATTAACATAGATTGGCAGCATGTGTTCTTATTGAAAATGAAGAAACAAAGATCAAGTCTCCTTCATATCATATAAGTATGATGTGAGGAGGTTTTGATAACCGAAATCGATTGTACATATAATATTTTTGTTGCTAGTAGCAATTACTTAACCTTTTCTATATATTAACTCAGCGTAAGTTTATTGGACTTTTCTTTTTCAATAACCATGGATATCACAAATTAAATATTCTTTACATTATTAGATTTTTATCATCGACGTTTACGGTATATAAGTATGGTTTCTATGACTATTGAAAATTAGGTTAGGAAACTATTGTTAAAAATTTAAACTTAGAATTGAATGCAAACATCATGATAAAATTAAAACATGCTGTTTAACTTTTCTCTGTAAGTTTATAAGGATTTTAAGTTTTTACTAACCTTTTATTTTAAACTTTGCTATCATCTCTTATTTTCCATTCCCGACCAGAATAATATAGAGTAGGAGTTTTATGCTAATGGCTTTGCAAACTTAAAAATATATTTAAGAAGTGGCTTCTAGCCAAGAGAGAGCCTTCATGAAGCCCTGCTTCGCGCGTGCTTTTCAGTCCACGGAGTATTATACTCCGTGTTTCAGTCAGTTCCTGTCTGCCTTTAGTCCAGAACGTAGTTGCTGCTGATATAATAGGCGTATGTAGTATTTGCATCTAAGCTCGCTACATACGCAGTGCCAAGAGGTCAATCTTCGCGTTATAAGTCTCTGTGAAGCATTTAAGTTAAATTCTTATTTTGTTAAGCTAGTTATTAAGTGAATATTTCTTATTTTCTACGTTTTAGAGCAAAAGTGTTGGTTTCTGTATCCCGAAGCATGGGAGCACCTGTGCGGGGTGAGAAATAAAAGGTAAAGTTAACCCTTCTTAACTTGTTTGTCTATTCCAAGCACACACGAATATAGCTTTAGTAAGCTCCCTGTTCCCACTCAGGATTTCTGGATGTTCCTTAAGTCAATTAGAAGGAGCAGCAGCCCTGACAAGTTTACTATTAAATTAATTTTGCCTTTTTATTAGCAAACTGACATGTGAGGTTAACTTTTGAGGGGGACCTCGATTAAGTTTTTATGGCTTCATTGAGCTATTTTACTTCTGCCAAATCACTAGCTTTTGAGACATTATCACTTGTGTTTAAACGTGTTTAAAAGTCATACGCGGTTAACACGTGTTAAAACGTGTTTAAAGAAATTTTGCTTTTTTCTTTAAACGTGTTCAAAGTTCTATTCAAAGTACATGATCAAAGTTTTATTTCCTTGGAATTAAACAACATCTTCTAGTCAAAACTTTAATCAGAGAACAATAGTCAATTTTGAGTATTTTGGAATTAAGTAGCACATTGCTTGATTACCCAAGTAGCACATGACGTATAAGACATTGCAAACTGGTCCGAGAGGTTGCAAAGTGGTCGTGATAACGTCTTTGCTACGTCATGTGCTACTTGGGTAAGTAAATGGTTATAAAGAAAACATATGATTTCTGCAAAGAAACTCTCAGATTTATTAATTTAGTACTGTAATTTCATGCCTATAAAAAGAATTTACAGACAAAGAAGTTTTATAATTGAGGCCGAAAGCTATTGGGTCTATCTACATATATCTTCTTGATCATTTCTTTAATATCCTTCATTTCTTTGATGTTCACGAGATAATGTGCTGACGTTTGCTGCTGATTAACATTCACAATTCGGTTTATTTCAAGGACATTACAAGAAGAAGAATCCCTTTATTAGATATGTTAGATATTACTGCACTTTCGCGTGAGTGACTGGCATCCAAATTAGAATTCAGAGTATATATTCAGTGATCACTACTTCGATATGGTTGAGGTCTTGTAGTCCTCGAAAACGGAGGAACGGCTATCAGAAACCTCGCGTTGCGACTGATTGAAGAGATTTTGCTAAGCTTTTTTGCCTCGCTCTTTTTATCGGCCCAGTCAATTTTCTAACGATATAAAGCGTTTTTAACTGATTTAAACATGTTGATAAAACCTCCTTTTAAATAAACTGCACAACTTTCATCATACTATTAAAACGCTTTTTAAATTTACCACAGTTATATTTTGAAAACATTAAGAGTCTGCAATAAGCATAAAATAATGCATTAGTAAATATCTTAAAATAGCACTGATAAGCAGCTTAATAATTATATTTGATAATTAGCTTTGTTATACTTAAATATGAACGTTTAATTTAGGTTACAGTATTAATATCGAAAGTGTGCGCAGACATAATATTAGTAACTAATACTCTAATACTCCAATAATAAAAATCTCTTGCGGACACCACATGACTTCCTCGTAGGAATATTGAATTATGCGCATTTTTTGCTGCATTTCATTTAAACTTATTTCCTCGAATTTCATTAAAATAGATTTATCTTTCAATCAATTCATTTCTCGCTTCGCGGCAAGATAAAAATACACAAAACCTGAAAATATCTTAATTAAAAGCTGAAAAATATAGAAAAACATAGAACACCAATTACACATAAAACAATTAAAAAGCAATTTTTACAATTACAGTCAGAGTTTCTTTGCAAAAGCAAGCAATTAGTCCTGAAGGCAAGATTTTTCGGTGCAAAAACTGAAAATTTACTTTTGGTCCCACTCAGTAAAAAGACACTGAAGGTGCAGAAACTCTCTTAATTCACTCTTCTCCTAAGTTTCAAATGTAAACAAACATGGCTACCATGATAAAAAAAATTATACTCAGCCGCACTTAAACAACTTTTAAATTGCTGATTATTCTACAACTATGGCATGCAAATTAACCAAAGGCATAAAAACCTTAAACGGAAGATACGAACAGCATAATTCAACCGTTTTTAAAGCCAAAAATGCCCAATTTACCAACATGTAAGAATGAAAAGAACTGACATCACCGAGCCGAGTAACAGATTAGGTGTATATATATATATTAACTCTTTAAGCTTGCAGGAGTATTAACTCTTTAAGCTTGCAGGTCCACCCATAAGATCTTGCACATTTTGACTAATAGCATATCGCTATTTATTTTTTCTGTACATCGGCATTTCCATTCCATTATTTATTTATTATCTTTATTACATATTAATGTGTTAATTCAAGCGGACGCGTCGGGAAATTGGAACAGAGAATTGAAACTAAAGTTTTGACATAGTTAATTTAATTAATTGAAAAATGTGTTTTAATTAATTGAAAAATGTGTCGCGTACAGTTTCAATTGTCTGTTTCGGCGAAACGCGTGATGTAGTTAGCTTAGTTCAAAGTTCATTAAAAAATATTTCCCCTGACGTGCC